CGATTTTTAGCTGTGAATGCAGATTTATAGGGCTAAGAAATCCTTAATACACATTGCAAAAATTTTTGTTCTACGACAAAAATTGACGAAGTTATGGCCAAATTACTAAAAAAGTTCACTGACCGCCCGGCGCGGGGACGATGACGTCATTATATCCGATCCGAACGCTGCCGGCGTACTGCGTGGATAGAAAATATTTTTTTCTAGCCAAATTATCAGTTTTAGAGAAAAACTTGTAATGACATTTATTCATCAGAATAAAGTAAGCTATCGATAGGTAATTTGTCGAATCCAGCTCGGCTGGGCAGCGTTCGGGAAGCTTCGCGATATTTTCACGTCCGAAATACCGCAGTGTCTTAAGACAAAAGTCTGTGACCAGTGTGTGTTGCCAGTGATAGTATACGGATTTGAGATGTGGTCGCTTACTATGGGCCTCATAAAAAGGCTCAAGGTCACCCAAAGGGCGATGGAGCGTGCTATGCCAAGCATAGTTTCCCTGCGTGCTCGAATCAGAAATGAGGAGATCCGTAGAAGAAAATCAAGTGGCAGAGCTGAATATGGCCGATGGGGTAGAAAAATTCTCGAGTGGCGACCACGAGCCTGAAGACGTAGTGTGGGCAGGCAGGCCCCTTACTAGATGGATCGACGATCTGGTAAAGGTCAGAAGAGGTGCCTGGATGCGGGCGGCGCAGGACCGATCGTTGTGGAAATCCTTGAGGAGACCTTTGTCCAGCCGTTGAACGACATTTGCCTGAAATAAACGAATGTTATGTCTTCGTCTAACATAGAAGATGTAAAACAAAATGAACAAGTAAAATGATCGAACACCAGGCTTCTTTTACTAATTTTTAAAATTAGAAAACAAAGCGCAACGTGTTCTTATCATTTAAAACTCAAAGGCACACTGATGCTCAATTACCACGCTGCCGTGTCCTAAAGTTGCAGTGCGCATTAGCCACGAAAATAGTGACAAGACAGCAATATCTCACTAACACGTTTCATACCTTGTTTATAACGACTAGTCTTAGATAATAAAACATAGAAACATTGCACATCACATATTAATAAACAACAAACATAAAATTAAAACTAAATTTATTTTGTTGAGAACGCTAGGAATATTTCCGGGAGCGTTATCAGCGGCACATCAGTAACTCTGACTGAGCTGAGTGATCGACGCACGCAACGACGCTTAGAACACCTTATTCAACTTTTTGAACATAGCCGCATTATAGTTTAGGAATGTAGGTTAACGGCATTTAAGTCTTGTAAAAATGTAAAAAACACATAGATTGTTACATTTGGTTAGCATTCATGGTGAATTTACTAGTGCAATTTTAATAAATAAATTCATGTAATACAAAGCTATAATGCCGTTATTGGACCTTTGTTGCGTTTAAGTCTAATAATTTTACTTAACGGCGTTTTAGTCTTGAGGAGTCTATTAAAGCTTTGCAAACAGCAGCTTAGCACTATTGTCGTTAAAGTACCTTAACGGCTGTATTGACTAGAAATTGTAAATAACGGCAATAAAGCTTTGTAATTTTTCTTAAATTTTTAATTCTAATAACAATTAAAGACGCTTAACCGCGTTTAAGCTAAGAAATGTAATGTAACTGCATTTTAGTTATGTAATCTTGCAGAGGCCAAGCAGTTAGCGGCTTTCTTATTTTTTTTATCTCAGGAACTAAACAAGATATAAACATTTCGATAATAGTGCTAGATTAAGCATTTTTTTCTGATTCGGATGGTATTCAAAAGTCAAAATTGACAAATTGTGGGTTAACGGCATTATAGTGATTGGACGGCAGCATTAAAGTTTGATCACTACAAGCCCGGACACACTGTATATAGATTACATTGAAATTTTCCAGCACGAACAAATGGCTAAACAGATTTCGATAATATCACACAGATATTGCCAAGATGCCTAGAGGTTATTAATTATTTTTTGCTGGAAAATTCAATCCACAATCTTTTTGAACATCACAAAAAAATACGTTGACACGGGTCGTCGTGTCAGTTTTGTATATTTTTCCTCCTCCGCAGGAAGCGAGACTTGAAACCTCAGATCATAGAAAGAGAATAGATATGAAGTCGCGCGTAACTACAACGAGAACCAGTGTCCCCACATTTCCCCCACCACAGCTCCCACACACACATTCAACTGTGTAAAAACAAAGCGACTGAGAGTCTACGACAACATGTGCAACCGGCTTAAAAGTGCTGTGATTGGCCAGAAAGCGTGCCTTATGGCCAATCAATGGCCGCGTGACGTGACGCACACTTTGAAAACTAGTGAGAGAACAAAGATAAAATGAAGTCAACAAGATATCGATACTTTAAATCGCTAGGGGCAAGGCTCGAAACTGGTTTCTCAAAATGCTTATGTATGAAAACCTTTTTATTATTATACGTTATTATTAACTACTATCACGCATTTACTTTTTAATTATGGCGATCTGCGTACCGCATATGTTTATCAAAAATAATGCCTATATTAGGCTTTCAACTAGCTCTTATAGTAATTACATAGTTGACAGTTACTAATTACTTCTACTGTTATTATTTTTTTTGTAAAATCTTATAATCGCAAGTAACACATCATTTTTTTATTTAAAATTACAAAATAGAAAATTATAATTTACTTCTATTTATCGATAATAGGAAACCGCATTAGAACACGAGCACGGCACTATGTTACGACCGGCACATGCGGCCGTACTGTGTATTTTCACACGACAGTGGATATCGGAAGAAATTAAATACATTGCGCAGTAGTTGAGCATGACATAAAGTGGTTGCTAACTAAATCGTCAATGTACAAGTGTGTTAGAATTTTTATCACCACTGATTTCGATATCGCAGTAACTGTTACGGCACTGAATTCGTTCGTAAAAATGTTTAGTTTTTTTTATTTATAAGCAAAATACCAATGGATTTGCAATACTTACATGTAGTAAATGACTCCATTGTTCCTGTAGTTCTTCGTTTCACTTGTTTTATTGCACGTAACGACGCATTATCCAAAATATCGGAGAACATTTCCTTAGTACGACTGAATCGCGACTAACCTAGCTACGCGGCCGATGTTCGTTTCTGGGCATATCGCGGAGACACGCGCCACGCCCCCGTTTCACATCTATTCCCTTCTATGATCTGAGCTTGAAACGTTCTCTATCTTGACATATTTCGTTTCTATTTATATTTTCGACTTTCACTGACATTTTAGGCTCTATATTATGCCTACCCTCAGTTTGTTTACTGAAGTTATGGCAACCTTGAATTTATCTACTTTCCCAATACTTAATGAAGTTTAGTAGAAGTACAATGAAGCTTCTTAGTTTAATGAACCTTAGGTCCAGAACAGACGGTGAAACGCAACTGCAACGAAACTGCAACTAAGTTTCTGCCATAACGTCCGTTGAGAGACCACACATGACGCGACCAGTTTGAAACAGTTTCATCAACTTTAAAATATGGTATTATATTTTGGGGAAATTCTACGGACAGGGAAATAGCTTTCAGAGCCCAAAAGAAATGCATACGATCAATCTGTCAAATTAAACCTACTGAAAGTTGTAAACCTTACTTTAAATCCTTAAATCTACTAACCCTCCCATCAATTTACATTGAGGAGGTATGTTTATTTGTCAGAAGAAATCCTCCTTTATTCTCAGTACATAAAAGTATAGACCTACATTATGCAATAAATGATTTTGATTTGATTTGATTTGAAACTTTCAGTTTCAGTTTCATTCATCAGAATCATCAGAAAGTTGCAGTTTCGTTGTAGTTGCGTTTCACCGTCTGTTCGGGGCCTTACAGTTTTCAGTTGTATTTATCCCTTTTAGACACTTTCGCCATCGTCATCATCCTTATTCATCATCAGGTCATTCAGTTTCCACTGCAGGAGCCTGCTCTCTCTAATTTACCGGAGGCAAGTGGCAACCTTCTAAAAAAGAATTCAATCATGGGAGTAGCAAATTGACTCATTGACTATTTTAATATTTGTCCAGCAGCTCAGCAAATGTTAGTTCATTTATTGAGGATGACGTAAACGTAATGTCTTTACATTCTGTTTTAAGTAATTAATGTTAGTCACTCCTTTTTAGCTGCTAAATATCATATCAATCTTGTAGCAAAAAGGCTGAAATCTTGTTTTATGCCAAAAACAGCTCACGAGGTTTTCATACGCCCTTAACGATGCTTGTTTAAGTGAAGCAGCAAATCGAATGCACAGCGTTGAATAAAGCTCTGTGATTGGTTCGTGTGTCACCCTGTGCGTCCACGTGCACTGAGACCGTTTCGATCCATTTCTTTGTGAATACGAGCGTATATCTCTTTCCATTAGGTTTGATAAAGCTTTTGCAATCAGTTTTCCAAATTCAATACCATAATAAGCTTTGTCATGGCTTACGGGTTATATTACATAAACTCTACATTTTTGTTGCAACAGTAGGATAACCAACTACATTATAAAATGCCAAAATGCCATAGAATAGTATCATAGTTCGACGACATCATTATTTACCTGGGCCCAATAGCTTAACGTACAGAAGTACATAATAATATCATAATCCTCATCAGCTGGTTTCAGGAATGCTAACCCCGGTAAATCTTAGTTCTATCTTTATTCCAGGATTTTCTTCTGTATTTTCTGTCCTCCATTTAGTTACATAAATTGTCATACTAATGAAATGTCAAAGCTTAATAAGCAGGACGATTATCCACGGCACTACATCATCCCATCTGCCACAACCAGACCCTTCCTTTCCTAACCATTCTGCATCTCCACACCAATTGTAGACCTAACAAGGATTCACTTCACAGCTATGAAATAGGTCAGAAAAGACTTAGCGCGCCGCGTATCATTTGCCAGCAATCACCGGCGCAATGTCATCCGACAGTCTCCCTCACCGATCAACTACATCATCCGGAGGGGGCCCAATTGTCGAGCAGTACGCTCATAAATTCTTTCTACTGCTGACAGTTGCACAGTTCACATGTATCCCATCCTGTAGTCCTGCCATGCTGGCATCCAAAACCACATTCGAACTGAAGCATGAGGCGGGTGCGCACGCGTTTGACAGCTCGGTCGCCATTTTTAACAGTTTGACGTTTGGCAGGCCTTTCGGCTGACGTTGACTATAGCTGTGTCGTGCGATGCGATCGGTGCGGTGATGTGCGGTGCTAGTTTGTGATGTGTGTGTGATTTTTTATGTAAGTTTTTGTATTATTTCCAAAAATAACTTCACTTTTCATCAATGTGGCCAAGGATTCGTTTTTTTGTTACCTATAATCATTTGTTGCACGCTAAACGTTTTTTTAAATGTCCTTACTCAAAAATCACATAATTATGTTGTTTATTAAATGTTACTAATAAAATATTAGGAATATTTGCAAAGTTGAAGTTGATTTTCCCGAAAAGTTGGTCACCCTACTTTCTTTCGGTGCGTTGTACAATTTTCAATTAAAATAGTTTTATAAAACCAGACAACCTGATTAAGCTCTAGATTATGACGTGTATAATAATTTTGTTTAAATAAAATTTAATTAAAAGTTAGAAAGTGGTAGGTACTTAGCATTAATTGCACTTGAATTCAAGTTTGGCTACCCACACCGCGGTCTTGTCTCTACTCGGGTGACCATGGTCACACTTTACTTCGGAGACTATGTATAAAGTTGGTACAGTCTCATCTCACTTAACACCAGGTGCGATTGCCAGTGAAATACCTACCTTGACGTGCATTAAAAAAAGTTTTTTTTATAATTTTAACGTTCATCGTAGGAGCTTTAGGGCGCCTTTATAAGAAGGGCGGCGTTACTTAACTGCTTAATTTACAGCGACTCTACCATTTTTTGAAAAGAGGATAGCATCCTGTAGTACTGTAATTTTACGAATTTATTTTTAATGGGCCCTACCAAAATGATTATTAGTTTACTGCTTTGCGATTTGGCAAATTTCGCGTGGATATGTGATTGCTTCACTTCATGATTCTCAAAAGTTCTAAAGTAGCGTAACATAATAGTCTTAAATGACATAATACTAAGGCTGGATTGCACCATCTTACTTTGACTTTAACAAACGTCGAAAAACTGTCAAACAAACAACAAAAACCACCGGTTATTGTTATAGTTACGGTCAAACTCAGCATAACGTTCCACAAAATTGCGGCTACCCCCATACTACTCTAAAAAAATATCGTGAAAACCATTGTAGGTAATGTTGTCGTGCCATAACCGTAAAAGTCGCCTTTTCTCCGCGTTTCCCATAAAAACCATGAAATGTAGATCCCATGATAGTGTAATGTGGTTCGTATTGGAAAGAGCTTTCAGTTGGCTGGTTTATTTTGTAACAAAATTTTGGGGTGTATTTTTTGTAACTTTAGGAGTTGTTTTTTTCATCTTGTGGGTTGTAGCAACTGATTGCTTCTAAAGATACTATTTGAGCCCGCAAAGAAAGGCGTCTAATAAATAGGAAAAAGTAAGGAAAATCTGAGGTCACGGCCTTAGTGTCAGATCAAAAAAGTTTTATTGCCCTCTGAAGTACGGAATCATAATGTTTTTGTGCTCAATCAGATTGACTTTATGTCCAGAATGTCCTAATCACATTGGGAATAGTTACATAGTCAGTGATGTTTTAATTTGTAGTTACTTAAATTACGTCTCTCATGGGACTAAAACACATGTTACCAAAGAATGTCAATTTTATTAGACTTTTGTTCCAAATATTGCCAGTTTCTTCAATAAGTCCTACCACCTCCAGTCCAGTAACCTTTTCTTTTCTATTAACAGACAAAAGAACTTTTCCACTGTTTACTACAAGGATAATTTTTAAACAAGTCACTGATTTCCAAGTAAAGACGCTGTTTTAATTAAGATGTCCGCCAAGATTATGATAATTAATGGTTACCCTGCAGGGGGCAGCTAAGTCCCTTAAGGATCTCTACATAGAGATAGCTAATTTACGTTGTTGCTATAAAATAAGATCTTTACTACATTTTAATAGTTATTATAGTCATAATAAAAGTAAGAATATTTGTTTACATAATCAAATCTCTAGGTACATCTATACTAATATTATAAAGCTGAAGAGTTTGTTTGTTTGTTTACTTGAACGCGCTAATCTCAGGAACTACCAGTCCGATTTGAAAAATTCTTTCAGTGTTAGATAGCCCATTTATCGAGGAAGGCTATAGGCTATATACCATCACGCTACGAGTAATAGGTGCAGAGCAACAATGAAAAATGTTGCGAAAACGGGTTTTCACGCGTATGAAGTTGCGGGCACAGCTATACCTATTAATATAAAAAGTATCTATAAGGTGACTCTCCGCTTTCATTAGTAGGCATTTTAAAAATAAATTGATAATATTATGTAAAGAACATTGATTTAATTAATGATTACATGACTAAATTAGGTAATTAAGTAGGATTAAACTTACAGTAATTTTAATCAAAATCCGTTCAGAAGTTCTTCACCCCTTCACAAACTTTCACCTTTTTATCGGTAGTACATGTATATATATTTTAAAACATTCATAAGTATCTCGGGCCGCGTTTCGCGGCGTGTGTGTGGTAATGTTTCCATACAAATGAAGAACCGTAAGTGGTTTCATACATAGATACACACATATAAATTGTATGAAACCATAACGCTACGTTCACGTTGCGTTGCTGAGAGTGTATTCTTTATAAAAAGAGACGTTTCCCATGTTTTATTTTGCGTTATTCTCGTTATTTCAATTCAAGACACGTATCTCATAAACATTATGGTGTCATGATATTCCATACAAGACCCATAACATGGCTGAAGCATTGTAACTGGCACTGTAATTTCAGATTAGGGTGACCACACTAGAATTTCCGTACGAGCTTTTTTGAGAGTAACAGTGTCGTGAAGATTACAAGACTTTTTAAATATTTAGATTTTTTAAATAATCTTATAAATGTGATATTCATCATTTCATCATCATCATTTCAGCCACAGGACGTCCACTGCTGAAATGTGATATTAAGATCAATAATTTTTTTCTTTCTTTCTTTCAATATTGTGATTTGAGTTTGGGATACGATCAAACTGGAATATAATTTATAATGTTTCTATCATAATAGGATGGATAGTTTTATGTTACACTTATTTTCAAAACTTACTTATTATCGAGGAAAGATTGACAATGATGAATTAACTGATTTGATGCTTTCATTACTTTTAAAAGTTTTATTTTTAATTTTAATTTTACGAAATACGAAGAAGTTAAACGATAGTACCTACCATATCTTCCGGTTCCAATTGTATTCCGGTATTAACTTTTAGAGACAACAACTACTTGATGGATTTTGATTGACTCTACTGAGGTGTTTTGACAAAACTATTGTTGTTGTTGATAATGATGATGACTATAACTTAAATAATAAACTAAAATCTCATTGTTACAGATACATAATTGGCGGTAACTCCCATCTAGTCCACACAGTACATAAAAATGTTAATACAGTTCAACTAGTGAGTTAGTTAAAAGTATTAAAAGAAATTATCGTAGATTAAAGAAACTGAAAGAAAGATAAAGAAGGAAAAATGGATACGAAGAACGATGGACGCACAGATGACATTGAGCTCAGTGCTCAGGGCACGAGCACCAAACCTAGGTGAGTAAGATTTATTAAGTTTTTCATTTTAATACAGCTAGTGTGACAAAAGTACAGTATAGATGGCACCTCAAAAACATTTTCATGTAAACCAGCACTGAAAACCAGCGCCGTGGCCTTCGTCACCGTGGGCCACGGCATATGCTAAGTGGGGTCCCGTTGCAGTGGCCATCTTGTTGGTGAATGGGTGGCACTGCTCAGTTTACTCTTGTTTTTATTTTTTCTTCTTCCCTTATTATGTTCCACTGTCATGTCTATGTAATTGCCTGTATTTGTGTGATGTCCATTGTAATAAATGTATGTTTCTTTCTTTCTTTTTTTCTAAATGTCCCTAAAAAGAGGCTGGCATTGTAAAAAAGTTAACAGATCTCATGTAGAGCCAAGCTTCTAGCTCTACAACGCCCTAATTAAACAAATTCTATACCTAAATCACAATACCTAATGTGGCATGGGCCGTTTCGTTATCGTCATATAGGCGTCAGGCGAAAAATGTAGGTATTCATTGTTATTACTTTTTAGTTCTAGTAAGTAGTAAATAACAAAACGCCCAAGATAGAGTATAAAACCACCTTTTTGTGGCCAATGTGCCTGTTTTGACCACTGAATGTTGATTTACTATAAAAAATACTGTAAAATTAAAATGATAATTAAATAGTCATAAAACGGTGTAAAGAATAAAGATAGCCAAAACCAGTTCTATCCTAATGTTTATTAACTTTTTCTTATTTTATACCTGCTCAAATTTTTCTACAGCAACGTCGCAACCAAATCTGACCTTCCCGAGAGAGGATCCTGGGCCAGCAAACTCGACTTCATCCTTTCTGTGATCGGCTTAGCCATCGGTCTGGGCAATGTGTGGCGGTTTCCGTACCTCTGCTACAAGAATGGCGGCGGCGCCTTCCTCATCCCCTACTTTCTCACCCTGATCCTCGCTGGGATCCCCATGTTCTTCATGGAGCTGGCCATGGGACAGATGCTGACCATCGGAGGACTGGGCGTGTTCAAGATTGCGCCTATCTTTAAAGGTTTGTGAAGTTTTTACTTTTCACTAAATTCTTTGCTTAGTTTGGGACTAGATCGCGTAGTGTAAAATGTCCAAGGATATTTAATTATTCTAGTAAGGCCTTACTTTCGATTTCTTCCAATACATCAGCTATGTTTGTAGTTTACCCCTTTGTTACGTGCACGGCAACAACAACACAGTCTGTTAGCTTTGCACGAATAACTCAAGGCGTTCTCAACAAAACCTATACCTTTACTACTTAATTATAACCACTAGTAATTTTGACTAGTACCTATCAGAGGCAATAAAGGTTTTAATTAAGTATCTACTAAGTTGACAATATGACTCATATGGAGGTAGTTTTTCAATAATTACATACTAATGAACCTGTATTCACGACAATTTAAGCATTCTGCAAACTTATTTGGGATGAAATGTAAAATTCAAGTTTTCTAGTTGTAATCAAAGAGAATATCCTGTTGGATAAATGAAAAACATTGGCTGCTTATCACAATCTTTCGACAATCCGTTCCTTTAACCCCCTTGTAACTCGCAACATTACCAACCTCTAAAACAAATGACCGCAACTTCTCAAGCCCCAAAACAATCGCTCCAATCCGGGTAACCGGTTCATTCGACAATTAGGGACCTTCCCTTTTTGTTGAAGAAGTTATTATCTTTGTGTTCCGAACAGACGGGCTCCAATGATGTATGGGACAAAGCAGGGGTTCCCAAAGTGTGCGCCGTAGAAAGTAAAGAGGGGAGAGTCAATCCTGTACGTCGCGTTGGCGCTTGAAAACCGTTGATACCTTACCCCTCAGACGTCTTTACACTCTTTACCCGCTTGTCTTTCGACTGTATCTTTTTCAAAGGGTAGGGTGCCGTGACAAAATACTTTTGTGATTGCGCCGCGGAATGAAAAAGATTGGGAACCCCTGGGTGAAAGGGTCGTGGAATGCTCGATATTGTATTTGTCGAGGGATGAAAGAGGGTAAAGGTCGCGGAATTCTTAAAACAATGTAATGATAGTAACAAAGAAAACCGAGACATACCTACTTTATTTAAAAAGGCATTAGTTTATTATGTTTCTTTAGGAATTTTCTAAGAAAACAAGACCGTACAGAGACAATAATATAGCCCTTAATTCGTGTAAAATAAGTCTGTCCTAGGCGATGTTTCATATCTAGGTATCTACACTAAGGAATGATTAATTTAATTTAGATTGTTTGTTTGTATTGAATAGGCCCCAAAACTACTGGACCAATTTGAAGAATTCTTTCACCATTAGAATTCTACATTGTTTCTAATGAACATAGGCGGTACGAAATCCGCTGGGCCAGCTAGTTCTATCAATAAACCAGTGATAAGGTCTTGGTGTAGCTTTTAAATTTTCTGCTCAATTTTTACCTTATTCTGTCCATTTGAACTTTTTTTGCATGTCACTTTTGTTGTGAATCTCTTTAGAAAGGTTTGAAAGCAGTTTTGTTTGGATTTTTGGATCAATTTACATAAAATTATTTATTTTACTCAGGTATTGGTTATGCGGCGGCTGTGATGTCCTGCTGGATGAATGTGTACTACATCGTCATCCTGGCTTGGGCTATCTTCTATTTCTTCATGTCGATGCGATCAGGTAATAACATTTACTTCTTCTCCCTTTTCTTCTTCTATTCGTGTTTTAGAAAGTAGAAGTCCAAGTGAAGTATCCTCGTGCTTTATAAACTCTCATGGTGTATAAAATCCGAAGTTAGAGAGTACATTAGAGAATGGATGCGGGCAGCGCAGGACCTTTCTTTGTGGAAAACCTTAGGGGAGGCCTTGGTCCAGAGAATGTTTAATTCACTAAAATCCACAATCAAGAAAAAACCCTCTTTCATATAGTTCTGGTCCTGTAACTTTAACACAATCCGATCAAGTTGTTGTTGATAAAAAAAAAGTTAAGTGCGCACCTGGCCGGAATGGCGTGTGAGGCGGGTCGCTACATTCCCTACAATATGGTCGAGTGAAGCGATGGCTGGTTCACACGTCATGTCTGTGAACAGGCGCTGCCTTCGGGGACTGGTCAAGACAAGATATACCTAAATTAAATTTTTTAACATAACAATTAACAATCAAGCTAGACAGTGGCACAGCACTAAATATAAATATATACAATTTATTTAAAACTACCACACGGTTTTGTAATGGTGCCTTGCTTTTCTCTCTAGAGTTTTTATATCAGGCACTTAGCCAGAAGGATATCTTAGACTTGTCATGCTCACTAAAATGTCTCTGGGGTAGTGGCGTGTGAGGCGGGTCGTTATATTCCCTATAATATGGTCGAGTGAAGCGATGGCTGGTTCACACGTCGACTGTGAACAGGCGCTGCCTTCGGGGACTGGTCAAGGAAAGATATACCTGACATAAAATATACATATATGTATCAAAACGCAACAATGAGGATCAGTACTGTTGTAGAAAATTCAATAAAACTAGTATCTACGTTAATCTTTAAGACATAAGAAAGATATATCTTTTTGAATTATCCAAATCGGACCATTACTTCGTTCGTTTCAGCCGAAAGACGTCCACTGCTGGACAAAGGCCTCCCCCAAGGATTTCCACAAAGACCGGTCCTGCGCCGCTTGCATCCAGGTACTTCCCGCGACCTTCACCAGATCGTCGGTCCACCTAGTGGGAGGCCTGCCCACGCTACGTCTTCCAGCTCGTGGTCGCCACTCAAGGACCATTACTTACGAAGATATTAAGTAATAAACATAGGCCGTTTTTGCCGCTAAAAGTCAACGTACGCAAGGCCGCGTGACGTCATTATATCCGAATCGAGCGCAGCCGGCGTACTAATGGGATGGAAAATATTTTTTTCCGGCTAAACTATCAGTTTTAGAAAAAAACTTTTAATAACATTTATTCTTCAAAATAAAGTAATCTATCGACCAGTAATTTTTAAAAATAAAAATTGTGAAAAATAAGTATTGCTATGTCCAAAAACCACATTTTCATAGGATTCGATGCAATGCGGAGACGCGGTTGGGGTGAGTGTAACTTAATGATTGTTTGTATTGAACATAATAATACATAATATGATGCTAATACCCAGTTTCTGGCCTGGGGGGGGGGATAAGTCATACCCAGCTTATAGCCTATTAACCTAGAAATAGCACGGCACTAAATAAATATATTCAAAACTGCCACGCGGTATCGTGCTAGATGGGCGTCTTAAAGGCCACCTTCTATCAACGGGAGCGCGTGGTAAGTAACTTGCTTCTGAATGTATTGTAACTTCCTACTTTTTTGTATTTTTAAACCGGCAGACAGTGGTGACTGAGTTTGTTGCGGCGCTTCTTCTCAGCACTTGCCAAATGTTTGTCTCTAAGCGCTGGTAGGGCAAAAAAAGAATGAGACATGTATAGGCTCCTTAAGAGCATTTGACGATTTGCAAGTACTAATTTAATTAGTCTAAACAAATAAAGAACATTTTGATTTTGATTTTTTGATTTTGAATGCGACTCTCCCTCGCTCTCACCCGCACAACTCCCCGCGATCACCCTGTCGGTACGTACCAGAGCGTCAACGTGACGTCACGGCAGCCAGGTGCGCAGTTAACTTGACCAGGTTATAAGCATGACCTACAGGAAAACTAAATGGTGTTTAAAGTCTTCACTACCTTTAGATGTGTCACTACCCTCTGAATTTTCTTCTCCCCTTAGAAGTGCCATGGCGCAACTGCGACAACTACTGGAACACGGCGAACTGTGTGAACCCTTACGAACGCAAGAACCTGACCTGCTGGTCCACCAGTGACATGACGCAGTGCATCCTGAATGGCAGGAACGTCAGCAAGACTGCGCTCTCTGATCCGGTGAAGGAGTTCTGGGAGTAAGTATCTTCTGTCTAACAACTGTGGTGGTATTCCTCTAAGTCAGACATCACTGCTGAGATCAGACATCAGCTAATCGCTGGCTGGCAGTTGCCATGCAAACGGTGTCCGCATTATACTTTCAAATCCAGTTTCGCTAGTTGATAAATATCCTTGTAAACTGCTAAAGTATTGACATCTAGTACAAACTTTTAGCAAAGTATAGCGGGGTTTGACAGAAAATAACAGTAATTTGTACACCACAAAATGTCAGAAAAAAATAAACAAAGCTTGTTGAGAGGCTTAACTATTTAGCTCCCCTTGTCCAATTAAAAAGAGCAACATATTTTTGGATAACATTTTACCTTTACAAATCCGATTATACTATGGGTGTACTCGTACGTAAGCAAAAATCAGTTTGAAGTGAAAAAGGGTGACTTTTATGTAGCACCTCTCTGTAAAATATTTCCCATAACGTTATTCATGGGTTCAGCAAAATGAACTGACGGCTTCATGAATATGAAATCATACGCCGATGAATATGCATGTGTGTTTAATGGAACAGGTTTATGTGGGCATGACGACATCAAAAACCAACGTGTTATTATTTTAAGTTCATTCAGAAATTCTGCATAAACTTTCGATTTCCAATTTGTATACGGTACGAGGTTTAAGGCTGCCATATTTTTACAGTCGGATTACGTTTATGGAAGGAAATTAATACAATTTAAATTATATCCTTATTTTTGGAAAAATTTGACAACTTGATAGGTATATTGTCAGCGCCCTTACGTCACTTCGTTATAATAGAAAGGGTTTTCCTTTGTTCGTTTAGAATCTAGATGATAAAGGAATAAATTATTGCAACTTTAAAATTTACTCATCTAAACAACAAAACGATTCCGGATAAGGCGTGAAAACTGCACATAGAAAAATCAATAACGATATTCTGATTCCGCTGCCCCTATCTTTTGAATTTCTTCCTTCTTAAAAGATGTAGACGATCTTTTTCCTGCTATTTCTGAATGTCAACATTCTTCTTCCCAGACGCCGAGCCCTCCAAATATCCAGCGGCATCGAGCACATCGGCAACATTCGCTGGGAGCTGGCCGGGACCTTGCTGCTGGTGTGGGTGCTGTGCTACTTCTGCATCTGGAAGGGGGTGCGGTGGACCGGCAAGGTCGTCTACTTCACCGCGCTGTTCCCTTACTTCTTGCTGACGGTGCTGCTTATCAGAGGTAGGTTTTGGTATATCATTATTGTCGAATGTTTGCTGTCTGACCAGCTGCTTCACTGAGATATTAGTAAAATTGTCACAGTATAATTCGTCGTTTGTAGTCGGATTTTTATTGCGAAAACTCCCAGTGAACGTTAGTTTTACAATTTAATATTTATTTAGCCACGAAACACTGAAAAAGCTTTATTCTGAAAGTCACTAAATTAATACTTTTTCAACAGAGGTTAGATTAACGCTCCTGTTATAAAATTAAAAGAATCTGTTTGTGCTGATTGCTATATTTTGGATGCCTTTTCCAATTTTATAGTCCGCATCAAATAATTCGTGACAGGACAGCCAAACTCAAAGTGACCAAAAAGTTGATAACTGCACAACAATATTCCAATAGTAACAAAGACGTGTTGCGAACATAAAGTTGGGTCCCTTAAAATGTTCGATTTGTAAGTATATTCAGGTTCTGTAAAACCATTGATATCTCAACAGGTATCACCTTGCCTGGTGCGATGGAAGGCATCAAGTTCTACGTGATGCCCAACATGTCTAAACTGCTGGAGTCCGAAGTGTGGATCGATGCTGTGACCCAGATCTTCTTCTCATACGGCCTGGGTTTGGGCACCCTCGTCGCTTTGGGCAGCTACAACAAGTTTACCAACAACGTTTACAAGTATGTCACTTGGTATACCTAGATGATATTACTACATACTAAATCAGCTAGGGACACTTTTATATGTTATAAATGTAAAGTTTGCTTTTGTATTTATGTTGCTAAACCCTTTCCAAGTTTTGCAAAGTCATAAGAAAGGATCTAAAATTCATTGAAAGAAAAGAAAGAAAGAAAGAAAAAAATGTTTATACATTGCTGTACATTTTTCCCCAAATGACGTGCTTCCTACTTTTTTTTTATTTAGATGAATATTTAGGACGGTTGTTCTATAGGACAGTAGACAGGAAGACGGATCTTGAACGAAAACTTACAAGCTAAAGAAATACTAAACTAAATGCAATTCAACTGTTGTGGAATTCATATTGTCATTACTTTCAGGGATGCTTTGATAGTGTGCACCGTCAACTCAAGTACGTCGATGTTTGCCGGCTTCGTCATCTTCTCCGTGGTCGGCTTCATGGCGCATGAGCAGCAGCGGCCTGTCGCAGAGGTGGCTGCTTCAGGTAAATATAAAGCTGCCACTAGTTTTTGTGTCTCTACTATGAACTGACATAACATTTTATTATACATCTATCAACATCATTAGATTAGTTAAGATAGATAGAGCTTATGATCATCATCATCATCATTGCTGTACTCAAGCCAGCGCTAAGGAGCACAAAATTCGATCTCACGTTTCTTGTCTTTCATTACGTTTGCCGAGTCGTATTTTCCATTCAAGAACCAGTTTAATATACCTTTCATCAGTCCTGTGACTTGCAGTTCTCGGAGTTTAGACAACGTGATTAAAGAGATTTCATCAAACTTTATGTTGAATATAGTTTATGCATCTTGTTGTATTTTTTTTAACCGACTTCAACAAAAGGAGGAGGTTCTCAATTCGGTTGGTATCTTTTTTTCCAAATACATTGTTTAATTTTTTGTCTGTAGGTCCTGGTCTAGCCTTCCTGGCGTATCCTTCGGCCGTGTTACAACTACCAGGCGCTCCGCTCTGGTCGTGCTTATTCTTCTTCATGCTGCTCCTCATCGGTCTGGACAGCCAGTTCTGCACCATGGAGGGCTTCATCACGGCCGTCATCGACGAGTGGCCCAAACTCCTCAGAAGAAGGAAGGAAATATTCATTGCTATTACCTGCGTGATATCGTATTTGGTCGGGCTGTCGTGTATTTCGGAGGTATGTGGAATATTGAGAATTTAAAATGGAAATAGGTACCTACATAATGTGAAAACATCGCAAAATATGGGTTTAATTTGAGATATTTGTACCATACAATATAAAATTCAAATGAGAAACAATCAAAATGGTCTCTACTCTGCCAACAACATGGCGTACTTAGTTCAAAACCCTTGCGGTAAAGTTAAGGCTCTTTTTTCTCACCATTATAAAAAAATCCAATAATCAACACTGTCAAGGTGTATTTGTATGGTAGACACCATCTCGCTTTATACATATTTAGAGGCAGGTAGTCGTTTTATTATAGAAAAGTACGAGCATAATAGTAGCATTTTATTGCAGATACGAGTAGTAAATAATTCATGGTCTACTAGTCGTGTTTCATCATTGATTATCCCGATAGTCCCTCAACATGACCTGATGTATATTAAAATTCCAGGGAGGAATGTACGTCTTCCAAATCCTCGACTCGTACGCCGTCTCCGGTTTCTGCCTGCTGTTCTTGATCTTCTTCGAGTGCGTGTCCATATCCTGGGCCTTCGGCGTCAACCGCTTCTACGACGGCATCAAGGAGATGATCGGGTATTATCCCACCATCTGGTGGAAGTTCTGCTGGGTCGGATTCACGCCTGCTATTTGCATTGTGAGTAAAATTTTAATTACAAAATATTATACGTCCATTAAATTAAGTTTTATTTCAGAAAAAGGATAAATTACTTGTACACTATGAGAGTTGCGGCCTGTGCTAGTTTTAGGAGTTTTTTTATTGGCTGTCCGAGGATAACACCGTTGAGTTATTATCGCCTTGTTTCAGACGGTATTTAAGCTATCTTCTGGGACTTACTTGATCTTCACTGGTTGGGTTTTATTGGAGGCCGACTGTAGATCCTAGCTACACAGGAACTGCAGTGGTGCGAAAAAGTGATTGGATTACTCTCGTTCATAATCGTCTTTCGCTTTGTTTCACAGAGCGTGTTCATCTTCAACCTGGTGCAATGGAAGCCGATCAAGTACATGACGTACGAGTACCCCTGGTGGTCACATGCATTCGGTTGGTTCACGGCGCTGTCTTCCATGCTGTGCATTCCTGGATACATGGTCTATCTGTGGCACGTCACTCCTGGGACTCGAATGGAGGTAATTTTGTTGTATTTGTACCATTATGACACTGGAGACATGAGTTTTGTTTCAATGTTTTTTCTCCTCTAAGTGCCAGTTTTTCACTCTTCAATATTTAGTTCTGTTTTCTACTAGGTCTGGGAGATCACAGTCTTGTTATCTATTCGGTCCTGTACTTTTTTTCATACAATATCCGGTGTTAGGATACTTTCTCGGTTTAAGTTCGAAGTTTGAATTACGTATTATTCTACTAATTTGTGGCAGTGGCAATAATTTTTAATCTCTATACTACCGTTTTACCTCCAGAAATTCCACAAAATAGTACGCATCCCCGAGGACGTACCTTCCCTCCGGACCAAGATGCAGGCCGAAGAGCTGGCCAAGCATCAGCAGCCCTAGACTCCACGTCGACTTAACGCCACAGATCTCAGGACTGGACACGAAACGATGGGGTTCTAGTGGAGACGGATCAATTATATTCTTGCATAGTTCCACTATATTCGTCATATAAACAATATAGTGCGTTTATTGATCATTCATAGCTTTGTATTTTATTAGTTACACTATATTCGGCGATGTTATTATTCAAAGACTATGCAAGAAAATAATATGGGAAGCGAAGGGCAAAATATATTCTAAAACATCACGCACAAAATAATATTGTTATATAACTATGTTTAAATTTCGTGCCATATTATTTTGTTAGTTATATTGTTTGTAAGTTGTTTTATTTTAGACAATTATTTAGTAAGGTGTATTTATGCTTGTTTTGCTTGTAAAACATTTTACTTTATCGAAATATGCCTAAGACATAATATAAATTGTGAGATTAATAATTATACATGTTAGATTATAATTATATAAACAAAATGTAGTGTGCCAATGACTTTTAGTGTATAATTTAATGATTTGACGACTTTTTGGGTGCGTCGCGACGCGTTCATGTATGTTTATAGTTTACGTTATATTTTTAAGTGATACTTTAATATATTTAAGAGTTCGGATGATTGGTGTATAATTAATTAAATGTTAACTATCTGTTATGTCTTCCATTTAAATCTTTTAGATAATGTAACGTTTATATCGACGCTAAAGTCGCTGCTTATTTTGTTTTCGGAAACTTTATGTACCTGAGTTCAAATTATATTTTAAAAAAAAACCTCACCTTTAAGGTTTCATTGAAATATTTTACCAGATTTTATCAGACAAGAATGTTGTCAATTGTCAAAATTATTAGTTATTATATTATTATGCATGTGAAATGTATCTTGCGACTATAAACCTCTGTTATCCTTAAAGGATTTAGCCTCATATCGTGTATGTTTAGTGTTTGTAGAAGATATTATCAATATAGCTTAATTGTATCGAATATTGCTTAAACCTAAAACGCAACAAGACGCGTCTTTAACTTGAATCTATATGGTGTTTTAAAATATTATGTCTAAGAGGAATATTATAGCATACATATATTTACAGAACAGCTTTCGATGTATTTATTCTTTTTGCAACAAATATACCTTTTAAATGCATTTTAGTTGAGTTTTCGTAAGTAAGTAAACTACTCAGAAGTTTGATTTTGGTTGTTCAGCTTTAATAATTGTATAATTTTGAAAACATTTAGTTTTACAAGATATTATAGTATATTTTGTGAACATCTAGGATCTAATCCGATAGAGTAGTAATCTACATTTATTTATAAGATCAAAATTAAATCTTAACTCTGTGTTCTAATCGAGACCAACATCTATACAAAACAATAATTGATAAACATTTATTCTAAATCTATCATTATACTGTAGATTTTCTAATAAAATTGCTGTTGCCAAAATATTTGAGAAAATTTTATCTATGTCTAAAAATCAGGCGATCTGTTTAGAGATTGAATATATTTACACTGAAAATCTTCTACTTATTCCCATATATTTGTTAAAATACGTTTTTAAATGTCCAAACATTATTTTTAAATATTAAAAAGCTTTCTACTCTACTTTATACAACAAAATATATCAAAATTAATATTTACGTGTTCAATATTTAGAGGGTTTTTGTCTATTTATAATGTCAATTTCAAATAAAAATATAGTAAACATTCGTAATTCATTAAATGTATGCATTTAGACGTGTTTATAATGTTTATGACAATATTATAAGAGAAACTATATAATCGTATATTATAAGGTAAAATATAAATAATATAATATAATGATGTGACTTTATCATAGGGCATATTTAGTCAAATTAACATTTTAGGTTTATTTTATTAAACTGTTTATTAATGCAGAATATTATAGAATGTGAATTGGGTTATATATATAATTTTAAAATACATATTATTTATTTGTGCGTTATTTAATGTGAGTTTATGTTTGTGAATGTATCTAAGTCTGCATATAAAGTGCTATGATGATTGTGCTTCCATATATTTTAGATATAATACTAGCTTATTTAGTTATAATGATAATTTTAGTTGCATATCGATGTGTACTTCATCATAAAACTGATTTTACTGCACTCAATTAACAAAACTTTTTGGAAACATAGTATATTAAAGTTCAGTCAAATTATCACAATAATATTGAAGACCACCGAAAGAATAAATTATACATAATTTTGAGTACAGTACAATGAGATTTTCAATTATTTTACTATTATTTTCATAAAAATATAATTTTTATAAACATATTAACATTCCATGTCATGTCAATTTGATTTGTATTATGATATAATTATATCAATATTATTATACTACCTACATATCTGATGAAGCTGCAAGAAGAAAATTATATGGTATAAAACGGTTGTCATGTACGTTAGATCGTAATTTATTTATTTCAATAAATAGTGAATAGTATTAGGGTTTTTTAATTTCCATTTAACTTGTGCTAGTGTTAATAATGATCGTTAACTTTTTAAATTAATTATCTTACTGTGAATTTGAACTCTTTCCATAGGTCTAGTCCACTTGACTCCCACGTTCACTTTAGCCTAGGGGCAGACGACCGATTTTTAGTTGGCCGATAGTTGGGTTGGGCTGTTAAAATCAGTATGGACATGTTTGAAAGTGCGCATATTACACCGATTTGGTATCGGCCGATTCTTCATACCAACAAGAATCGGGACAACTATAGGTCGACTAAAAGTCTGTGGTCTGCGCCTTAGGCTTAAGGTCTTGGGTACGATTCCCAGATGGAAGACACAAATATAAATGAGCATTTTCAGTCACCGATTGGACATACGGTCTAATGGCCGATGATACAAAGCTAAAATTATGGCATCTTATGTACTTGTCATAGGTGCGAATTTCCAACAAAAAAATTACGCTCTGTACCCAATTTTTAAATCCTGTTCACGCACACACTTAATTTTCATTCATTATATGCTAAGTATTCAATAAAACCTTTGTCGGTGAAGGTCAGCCGATCCTCAATCGGAATGTGAATTTTATTGTCGATTATATGTATGGATTATACACGGTGTTACTAAAATTTTAGTGTTAAACTCGATAATAGAGACATTACAGAGAACTGAACTGGCTTCTATGGTTAGGCATATACAGGGTGGATTTTTTTAATGCCACCTGGAGGGAAAGTACTTACTTTTAATACTGTAGATAGAAAATTTAACTCAAAGAAAATATTCCTTTATTTTTTTAAAGAAATAGAACGGCATTCAAAGATTTCCAAGGATCTACATCCTGTATTTTCGTCCACGTCTCGCTTCGCATTTATATGGCCACATCTTCACCTTATAGAGTCGTTACAAACTGGAGTTTTACTCACTTATAATATACTCAGGGTACTTGTATTGACACGAAGTACTTGTAATAAGAAAAGCAATGTATAAACTTAAAAAAATCAGGCTTATTCGATACAGCAGTGTAGGTCATGATCACATAAAAAAGATGAACAATTAATTAATATCGAATACTTTTATGGGCAGAAGCAATTGAATCCTTATTCGGAATAATATAAAACTGCCAAGATTTTAGGGTCCCCGAGCAAAACTGCTCAAAATTGCTAGTAGTTTTCGTTAGTCATGTTTTTTTTTAGGAGAACTTCAGAAGAGAAGGTATTCAATTTTACTGACCCATAAGAATTTTATGAAGAGCGTTTTCTCGATAAAAAAAATTTCACCAGTAAGCTACTTGTGAAAATGTGGCTACAAATGCACATAACAACATCGAAAATTACTTGTATGGGATCTCTATCGTATCTCTCCATTGTATTTTCATTTTGTAAAATGTGTATTTTCAACCATATTTAAAGTATAAAGCGAGTCTACCAAATCTCGTCAAAATTTAAAGACGTGAAAATTGGTGGAAATGCCTACCTATGAGAGAGAGAGAAAGAAAGTTTGTAGAAAGAGTAGAGAGAAAAACAATTGATTTTATTGCGGTTTCAATAACAGTTTAACTTTCCTCCGAGACAAACTTGACCTTCACTGGTTGGGTTTTTATTGGCGGTCAAGCTGTAGAATCTGGCTACACGGGAGTTGCAGCGGTGGGAACGAGAGGTGGGAATAGTCCCGTGCCGTATTCATCTGTTTAGTGTGTGGTTGACTAAAACAGAGTATTAACTAAAATAGCAATAAATATGACGTAACAATAACCGTGTAGGATGCCCATAATTGACTAAACCATCTATATATCAACCAGTAACCTAGAAATCAAGGTAATATTTTACAAGCCACAAAAATATCCTTATATCTTTTTAATTCATATTATAAAGCTAAAGAGTTTGTTTGTTTACTTAGCTAGGCTAGGAAGCTTGAAACATTGAATTTTCGGACAGATTCTGTTTATTCTGTAATCTATTATTGGTACCGTTTGAAAGAGCTCGTGAAGCACTTTCAGGATCAGTAACTAGTTTTGATATCTTGTATAATTTAGAAATAATCGAGTGAGATCACTTATCGTTTCCACCCTGTATAACAGCACCCTACAGCCAATAGGGGCGGAGCAGTAAAGACAAATGTTGCAAAAACGGGAAATATTATTCGAACTATTTTAACGCGCACGAAGTCGCGGGCACAGCTAGTCTAAACATAAGGCTAGCATAGCGACTAGTTACATCATAATAATGTTAAGTTAGTAATATATCAGTTAACACACACGTACTAATATGCCTAAAAGCGTGGGTCGCAAGTAATGAATCGGTCAAACATGGCTGGCATACTAATATGCGAGATTTGGCAATATTGAAGCATTACAGAATGTATCTTTAAAACTGGTTAAAATTTGGTAAATTGGTACCTTTAAGTTACCTATACATAGAGAGAACTTGACATTATTATTAACTGTAATCTAATGGATACTCAGCAGTTTTTGACAGAATATGTAGTAATTACTTATTAGTCTATGATTTCCTTGATGGAACGACGACATCAAAAGTTAGTCCTTTGTCGTATCTCTAGCTGTTTGTTCGCGATGATCTCAAAAGTAGGTACTTTGCGGATTTTCATGCGGTTTTCACGAATAGATAGAGTGGTTCATAAAAAAAGAGAAGAGAGAAAAATAGGATAGTTATTAGAATATTTAATTTTATCTACGGGATTGCTACCTTGTAGGTACCTTTTTATTTACGAGCCTCCGATATTTTATTATTTCGGCACTGTTACAGTTATTTTTATGGGTTTTAAGAGGGGTAAAGGCATAAAGTCTTTGCCACAAAACATATTCTGCTTAAAATGATAGTATGATACTTTTATCACAACTTCTACGCGTAAACAATACTTTATTATTAACTCAGTAATTAACTGTGAAGGTGACTAAAAATAACTTAAGTTATGAGCGATAAATGTTCATGACCACTCTACGTTTAATTAGAGTCAGTGTTGATTGTTGGTATTATTACAGTACATAACACCGAAATGACTACTTATACAGGGTGCCCCAAAGAGAATTAAACTTGTAGTATTAGTAGGGAATTGGGTTCTCTGGCTCACGGTCGTCCAACGTAATCGGAGTTTTATTTTCAGTCAAAGTGAATTGTTCAACTTTAGAGCGCTCTCGAAAGGCATTTTGCAGCGCTTAGACTGAAAACTACTAACATTTCCCAAAAAGTAGTTTCGAAATATTTGACAAAGAACATCCGAAAGTATGTGACTCTTACTAGACTCGTAAAAGGCATAAAGGAAGGCTATCTTCTGTTAGTCTGACTTACGTGCCATCTTTGGGACAGTGTGTGTAAATAGTGAGACAAATAAGAGCAAAAAACTCTACAGACTGCTGACTTTTAGTCGGCCGATAGATTGGAGTGTCTGTTGATAAGTATGAACATATACGGAAGTGCACAAATGACACCGGTGGTATCGGCTAATCCTACCAATATGATAAATGCGAAAGTTTGGATGTCTGGATGGATGTTTGTTACTCTTGCACGCAAAAAGTGCTGAACGGATTGTGATGATTAGTTTCTTTGTAACCCAGAATAACATTATAGGCTATAATTTATGACAATCTGTGACAAACTAAAATTTCACGCAGGTGAAGCCGCGGGCAAAAGCCGTCTAAAAGTCTACAGGGTGTTAGGTAAATGTGTATATGAGCCGACACTAGCCCATGTTAACATGGTCATATAAATGGTATGGTGAAGTCAGAAAATTTATATCTTAATTTTAATTAAGTATTTTATTTTTCATACAAATCGGATTTCATAAAATTTATTTTGTATGAAAATTAAAAAAATTAAAATGATGAAAGATGATATCCATACCATTTATATGCCCATGTTAACATGGGCTAGTGTCGGCTCATATATCCATTTACCTAACACCCTGCATAGTCTTTAATCTGATGCTGATGTCCTAAAGCTTTATTAAATTGACCTTACAAAGGATTGAACCCGCGACTTGCATAACAATCTCAGTGCAAGCCATAAGCAAATAGATAACAAAAACCTTTTCGCGCCATCGGATATGGGCTATAATACAAACATTGACGTAAAAGCTCCAATTATAAAGATAAGAACTTAATTCCAATAAATAATTGAAACCCCGAATCGCCCTACTACACCTAAAGATTCATTTACAAAATAATATTATCTTATATTATTTTGTAAATGAATCTTTTGTAAATGAAATCTATCTTATATTTTTTTAAATACTTACATAATAATATTATCTTTATCGAATGCACGCTATCCCAAATCACTCTAGCTCGAATGCTCGTAATATCGAATTACACGTCATTCCTAATACATATTATTATCTTGAGCCCGAAATTGCATAGTTGCCACTTTATCGATAGTTTATCGATATTTCAAATATTCACACACTATCGAAACTAATAAGGCACGACATTGGTACGCTAACAATACCCTTGTTTTCCTCAAGCAATCTCTACTCTACTTATCTGAAAAGTGTTTATGTTGCAGTCAAATCACTTTTGACTGCATAAATCAGTCAAAAGTGGTTTTGACCGATGCCCTTGGTCAATATCACTTTTGACTGATTTTTCCAGTCAAAAGTGATTTTGACCAAGAACGTTAGTGAAAACCACTTTTGAGTGCACTTATGAGTTTTGAATGTAACATTTATAAGATTTTCTATCAAAATCTGCTTAGTAAAGCACGCTGGAAAGTGGCTAAGACTTTTTGTGTCACATCTTAAAACTTCTGTGTGGTCAATATTAAAAATCATTTTTTTTAAAACACCCAAGGTTTTTAGAAAAAAGTGTCTGATATCCAAGATTGGAGCGCTCACGTTACCATATGGTTGCATTTCTACGAACCTCGGCTTGGACAAACAAACTTAAGCGATAAACGACACCGGGTGCCATTAGTAGTGACGAAATGTGTGTGTAAACGTGCTATCATTGATGGACCATAGAGACGGTAGAGCGTTTTGTAGTGTTTTTAAGAATGAAACTACTAATATGCTTTTGTGTTTCTAAGCAAGAATGGTGAATGGATGCATTTTTGTTGCTCTTACACGCAAAAATACTCGAAGGATTTTGATAGACGTTATTTTATTTTAATGTAGTACACCACACAAAACTGCCAAAAAACCGGTATAATTGTTAGAGCTATCTTTTCATGAAACTCAGGAAAAAGGAATATTGTTTGAGATAGAATAGTTTGTAAAAGAACTTTTCAAAACCAATTTCAAGTGTAATTAAGTTAATTTTGGAGAAAATTGCTAGAGAAAAACTCTGTTAGACACCTAAGACTCATTGTATAAAAATTGGCAATAATGCTACTTAACACTAGAGTGCTCGCGCCCCTAAATACTCCTAGAGTGCTCGCGCGGGTGACATATGTCCCCCATTATGATATGGGTTTATTTTTGCTAATCTTATTTAATACAAGTAAAACAATTTATAATATTAAACATCAACTATATTTCTTACTAAATAATTTAAAAAAAGTGAGAAATTCTTTCATTAACTCTTATTATAAACCAAAAGAAATACTTCAATATTTTTCAAATATTTTAGAGTCGAAGAGACCAAAGTAGTTTAAATAGTCGTTTGACCCGTTATTTTGGCAAAAATATCACCTAATTAGAAAGTTAATCAATAGATTGATCTTATTCTGTGATATTTTGATCACAACTCGGGCACGATATGATTTGATGATCTGGACAAAAACGCCTATTCCACTTGTTACATTTGCTTACGAGTGCTTCGATTTCTTGCTCTTGTGCAAAAAACACATCGTCCTTTGCCACAATACTGGCAAGCTTTGTGCTAGTTGGTGTTNTATTATAACTTTGAGCTTACATAAAAGTAAACTTGATTTTAAACCGCGACGATAGGGGATCAAACAATTCCTCAAGTGCTCGCGCGGGGGACATGCGTCACCCAAACACTTTAAATGTTTTTTGCACTCACGTTGATGCGTCTAGCAAGATGGCGTTACTACTAAAATGTGCGACAATACATGCTTGAAGAATACATGAGAAGGCAGCACTGTAGCTCGATACATTGAAAAAATATTTACAAATTTTACACCCTGGGTGACATATGTCACCCGCGCGAGCACTCTAGTGTTAAGAACAAAACTTACTATCCTAAGATAATGCACAAATCTTGTTCTTTGCAAGGTAAAGTCAACACAAGACAACAAATACTAAAGTTCAAATTTCAATGTTGTCAAGTAAGTAAGCGTCCGTAGGGACTCAGCTTAGTACTTATCTTAGGACATCTTAAAACGTCCTGAGGCATCCCACTTTACGTCCAGACTGTGGGAGGAGCGGCAAAGATTACAAACTTACAGAAGGAAAAGACGGAGTCGTATTCTGCCTACGCTAAAATGTAAAGCTAGTTTTTTTATATTTTTAGTAGAATTTTTTCTCATCTTTCTTTGGCTCGTTCTGTACATATAAACTGGTTGGTGTTAATGCTTTGTTTTGTTATTAATTTTGTTAATTATTGTTCAAGAGTTACGCGTTCTGTGTTTAGTGTGAAATAATTTGTCTTAGTATGAGCATTTGAAAAACCACTTTAAGCATATAAAGCACAATAACGTATTTTAAAAGTAAATTGAAAATGACAAGACAAACCACACGTTATTCACCAGTACTCGTACAGACACTTCTTTGACAAAACTTTCTAAGTTTACAGGTATCGGAAAGTTGCAAGTACAGAACGTCCGTAATAATTGTGCATCGACGCTGATTCATCAGTCTCTGATACTGCATCTGACACAATTTTATAAAGGTATCAAAGCCAATTCTATTTAAACGGTTTGACACATCTGTAACCTAATCTTTGGTAGACAGAGACGGGTGCCGTGCGAAGGCGACCGAAATAGATTGCTTTCGGCACGCGCCTGCCGCACTCCTGCGCACCAAGGATCCATGGATCATTCTTAATTTAAAATCCAATGCGTTGTCCCGCTCGTTTGACCGGTAACAAGTGAAATGGTCGGTTAAGTGGAATAGTGTGTAATTATAAATTGTTTTAAAAATGTGGTGTGTTTTGTGGATGCTAGCGGTCGTGAGCTTGCCGCATGTTCAAGGTAAATAAATAAGGCTTGCGCGAGCGCAGCTTATTGTACGGATCAAGAAAGTTCTTTGGGCTTAAATGTAAATAAGCTTATGTAGAGCTTTTTGTGAAATAACAGAAGTTTGGCTGTATGAAAAAGATTCTGATAATAAGTAGATACTTAATTTTCGTGTCACATAAAGTTTTTCTTTAACTTAAATAGTGAATTATGAGAGGAGAACGTAAGAGCACCAATGGAAAAATAATTTTTATGTTTTTCTTTTGATTTTTAGCGGCTTTACAAATCAGTAAATTAAAGTAGGTATGTGAGAATCGCATCAAAATCCTATTAGTAATATCTCATCATATTAAAAAATGCTACGAATTCATGTTATGAATTTCATTAATTATTATTTCAATAAAGAAAAACTACAATGACAATTTAATTAATGTTATTAAGTTAAATCATTACTATTTTGTTGTTGCCAAATCCCGTAATAGTAATAATTAAATCATTAAGTTTATTTTAGGCGAATTCATAAGATTTTTCAAATTTCGACTGAAATAAAGTACAGTCGACATCATATTAGAATACACATGTTTGGCTTGCACGATTTTGTTGCAGTTGCTACTTTGAAAATAGCAACTATTATCTTACTAATATTATAAATGCGAAAGTTTGTATGGATGTCTGGATGTCAACATGTTTGTTACTCTTTCACGCAAAAACTACTGAACGGATTTTGATGAAACTTTACAGTATTATTGTTTATAGCCCAGAATAATAGTATAGGCTATAATTTATGACGATCTGTGACAAACTAAATTTCAAGCGGGTGAAGCCGCAGGCAAAAGCTAGTTACGATATAAGTTGCTAATGCTAAAGTTAGTGTTACGCTTGATGTGTTGTTGGTCGATCAGCCTGACCAAAATAAGAACTAAATACGAAAACTGATTTTAGCAAATGTGCTAAAACACTCAATGGATGAGATGACTCTCCCATCTGGAAATTGAATGCAGGTCTGCTATGAGCTGTGGTAACTAAATTAGTACTAATAGTACTAATCATTAACAAAATTAAAATGTATCACCGCGCTATAAAAAAAGTGCAGCTCGGCAAGAATTTGGATATCTTTCTTTGAGCAATTAATTTTCAGTCCTTGAGCAATTTTTTTTCCTCGTGAAAAAACGTCTCGTTATAACTTCTTCGTCTTTAAGTAGGTTCGTTCGTTCGTTCGTTCGTTTCAGCCAAATGACGTCCACTGCTGGACAAAGGCCTCCTCCAAGGTTTTCCACAATGCACGGTCCTGCGCTGCCCGCATCCCGCATTTAAGTAGGTATTATTAGCAATTCACGTAGTATTTTCACTGTGAGACTGCGCAACAGAGTGTTGCACATAGGTAATTATGAGTATAAATAAATAAATATTAATAAAAGTATCATTAAATCGAATTCAAAGGTACTTATCATAAATTATGTCGGTTTCTTCAGCAAATCCTCTAAACATTAATTTCTGAGTAATCCCTATCTATTCAACTAAATGTCAGTTAGCACAAATTGTTATTTATTATAGGATTCGTAGTTAATTTTCCTCTTGTCCCATATAATGTGGCAATTCGACCCAGTTTCCACGACATTGATTCATTTGTTGTGACAAAAATACATTATTTGCGTTATTATTACAGAGTATTGATATTAAATTCGTGTTACTTAATATTAATAACCACGTATTATTGCGTCACCACGCATTTCAGCCTAACATTATTAAACTTTAAATTGTGTTTCTAAAAAGATTCATGATTTTGAAACTAGCGACTACCTAGTTAACTAAGGGTGGATTCGATTAAACAAGAGTCGTCGCTTGGCTCTCTAACTGACGTAACTAACTGACATAGAGCAAAATTTTCTGGCAATTAGACAGATCGATTCGTCTTGCAAAATTGATTAAGATGGTGTAGATTCTCAGTTTCGAAAAAAAATGTCAGATACATCAGTTAGAGAGGCAAGCGACGTATTAATCTCAGAATAAATCGTCAGTTATTCGTCATTTTGACATATTTCCCATACTGAAACTGTCAATGTGCCAGTTATACCAGGAGTCATTCTCGGATAAAAGTTTGGTCGAATCGGGCCCAAGTAGTAATTATAATATTAATCTTAGTATGCACTTACATGTAAATGTCCATGAATCCGACGAAAAAGCTCCGAAAAGCTTCTGCGGGATTCGAAGCCGCGACCGCGACCAGCCGTTAGCTGGTGGCTGCATGATGTCCAGTACCCGAAGCAGCAGGCTAGGTGGTCGTGCCACTCACATATCCTGTAAAAACAATGCACATTGTCCATACACACCATTGTCATGAATTCTAACTAGTACAGCTTAGAAGAGCTAGGTAGTCATCATTAGTAGTAAGAAACTAAAAGAACTTAAATTAGCCTTTTTCCCATCCAAAAGTTACTTAATAAATATTGGGAGAGCACTTAGGAGAGCACGAGATATTCGATTCATAATACCGCTCACTTTGTTCTTAGTTTGGCCCTAAGGTTGACTGGAGGAAAATGCCGAAAGGCCTTATGTACACTGTTCTATGTCCATGTAAATTTGAAATAAATAAATAAAATCATCAGGTTATTTAGTCTCACAGCAGCATACAGCATGACCCACAGGCAAATGAAGGACTTTGGCCTACAAATCCCCATGCTAGTTCGCATATTTCTCCCTGCCTCATGGGTCTTTATTCCTCTACTGCAGTGGTTCCCAAACTTATTTAGTCTACTGCCCACTTTGAGAATAAATTATTTTTTAGCGCCCCCCATTTTTGTTGTAGTCAAGAGTCGAGCTCAGTCGATGTCTAAGAGTCCTCCTAGTAGATGACGCCTCCCAAGCCTCTACACAACGTCCCGATTTTTTTTCTGGGTCTCTTACCGCCCCCTTTTAAGCCTGCAGCGCCCACAAGGGGGCGTTATCGCCCACTTTGGGAAAGACTGCTCTACTGGAACCACACAGCTTTTAAATGTAAAGTTAGGTAGGTACTCTCGCTCTTGACAGACTTTACCTTTCATTAATCCCGTATCGACGTTGAGTGGCGGATTAGTGCTTGACCTATAAGTTAAATGGCTCTTGTGGTTGAATGATATTAATATATACAAAATATTGTTAATGTAGTTACAATTATTGTCTCTATTCGCTTTGTGAAACGTTTTCAAAATAAAGTTGACTCGAATTTTATTCGATTTTTGTCTAGGCTCACTGTTTCAATTTCTGAAAAAATAGAGCTAAAGACCTCTATATTATTTGGAAACACTGCTTTAGATCACCAGTAGGTATGTACAGTTGATTGCACATAAGACATTTTGCAAAATAGTAGATTACATAAAGATGCCACGGTGTTTTCCTTGATGTTCCACTTTTCGTCCTTCTGTTTAAGCTTAAGAGTCTTGTACATCTTCCAAAGTGCTTCGTATCTTCTATATCAATAATTGAGACAAATTATTTTATAATTCGTAATTATTTTCTACTTTTTAGTGCAGGTTTTTTGGATTCGGTTAAATTTTTTTTTGTTAAAATTAATATAATTTTTTCTGCGATATTTTCCAGCGGGTCTAGCAGAAGACATGGCGGCGACGACGCAGCAGTGCTGCAGCAAAGGCACCGCCTACGCCAGGACGCACTCCTCGGAGGATTGCTCCTCCTCCATCCCTCCGGAGGTGCCTCCCATGTTCGGGTCCCTCTGCATCTTTGCCATGGACCAGTGCTGCAAGGAGTACTTTATGTAAGTTCAAAACTCTTTTAACCGCCTCTGTGGTCTAGTGGTAAGATCATCTGCTTCAGATGCAGAGGTCCCGGGTTCGATTCCCAGTGGGGGCAGATTTTTCTGTTTGGTTTGGTTGGTTGCTAGTGCTTGTTCTAAGTCCGCCTGGCTAGCTACCACCATCTTACCTAAGTCTGTCGCCATAACAACAATGTTTACAGTATTGTTGTGTTACGGCAGTTAGAGGTAAGATAGCCAGTTCCTCCGTGGTTGAGTATTCCGGGTGAAGCTCGCTTCCACCTTCGGCCTGATCATCACTTACCATCGCTCGTTGTGGATAAAAAAAAACCTAGAAACGGGACTATTCCCACCTCTCGTTCCCACCGCTGCAACTCCTGTGTAGCCAGGATCTACAGCTTGACCGCCAATAAAAACCCAACCAGTGAAGGTCAAGTTTGTCCCGGGGGAAAGTTAAGTCATTGGACACGCAACGAAATTAATCAGAAGAACATAGGAAGAATTCGAAGTTAAGGTTCGACTTCCCTCCATATTGCAAAGCGGTTGGCAGATAGCTAAACTAGAAGTTAATAATGTTTTTTACAATAGTTAATAAATGAATACTGAAAAAGAGGCTGAAAAGGTCACTGGGTTCCTTCCGTTCACTTCTTCTCAGCACCAGCCCAGATGTCCCGAAATGGACGTGGAGTTTAACGCTGACTAAAACAGTTCGTAATAGCCAAAGTAGCCAAATATTTCGTAAACCGTCTTAAACTTGGAATAAGTTTGTGTTTTCGACCACTTTGGTTGTCACGAACTATTACGTTTGCCTTCATTGATTTATATTAACCGGCAGACAGTGGTGACTGAGTTTGTGGCGGCGCTTCTTCTCAGCACTTGCCAAATTTTGGTCTCGAAGCGCTGGTAGGGTAAAAAGATTATGAGACATGTAGAGGCTCCTTAAGAGCAAAATATTTGACGATTTATAAGAACTATTTAATAGTCTATACAAATAAAAAAAAATTGACTTTGACTTTGATGCTGACTGTACATGCATTCCTGCAACCAGTACCATAGTTTGTGGTTGAAATTCAAGCTGTGTTTACGAAATACTAAATCTGAACTCTATGTAATCTCAAAACTATTTATTATAGAACACCTGATACTGCAAATCCGTTTTGAAACTTTGTAACAAAATCTAGCAACTTCCTTAAGTGGAAAACAGTAACAATATTCGTAACTAACTGCAAACTTATTTAAGTAGAAAGCTACATTGTTCCTGAGTAAGATAGGCTATAAAATTCACGTGGGCGAAGCCAGGGGCAAATGCTGGTGTATTATAGTATAAAAAGTATCTAACACTAATGGTTCGCAAGGTCCTATTGATGGTCCCTTCAATAATCAAAATTCGCTGATGTAGAATATATTCAGCAAAATTCATACTAAAGTTTTTACACGCATTAAATAATTTAATTATCTTTCCAGAAAGAAGGTGGACTGCGACAGTGGCATAGACATGGCTACCAGCCTGAGATGTGACTCCTCTAACAACGTTACTAAAGTGAGTATCTCATTGGACGACATCATTTGTTTTGTATAAGACGACGTCTAGCCACAGTGGGGAAACTAGACAAAATCTGGTAAATTACATCCGTATTCACAAAGTACGATGCTTGCTTATGTGACGGTAGAGACTGAGTAGCAAATCGAACGCACAACGTTGAATAGAGCTCTGTGATTGGTTCGTGTGTCATCATATGCGTCCACGAGTGGATCCAGTTTTACCCCTTTAGGGGTGGAGTTTCGTAAAATCCTTTCTTAGCGGATGCCTACGTCATAACATCTACCTGCATGCCAAATTTCAACCCGATCCGTCCAGTGGTTTGGGCTGTGCGTTGATAGATCACTATGTCAGTCAGTCAGTCATTCAGATATTCTTTCTCGTTCCATTACAATTAAAATAGTACGGGTCTGCTTGTGACCAAAGGTGATGATGATGATGACAATCAAATAATTGAAGCTAACCTTTATTCTTTAGCTAGTACCTAATCTGCTAAAGATACAATAAATCGTTGTCTCTTCAAGTCGTTTCAATCTCTCTAGATTTGAAAAGACTTTTTGAGTGCGGTCTTGCAAAATCAGTTCGTACTTCATCACCAGGTGGGATTCTATCTAAACCAAACAGTTAGTAAGTAGGTAAGTGGGTGATAGTAGGAGGATGCCACTGATAACGCTTATCAGTGTTGACATTAGTAATGTCAACAGTGACAGCCGGCTTTGTTCCGCGTTGTCAATGAGGAATGTCACCGCTGTTAGATAGTATTTGTTTGGGTTGTGATGTTACATAATTTGAGTATAATAATACAGGGTGTCCCAAAAAGTAGTGTCAAGCCGAAGTACAGAGGTAGAGCATCACTTGGGCTATTCAAATCACCCCCATGTATGTTACCCTGTATAGGTACTAGACAGATGAAATTGGTTAACCATTTTGATGCACTAAACTCGAAAAACTGTAATCTAATAAGTATTGAATAGTGTTCAAGAAGAACTACTTTAACCCCCTCCCCCTCAATTAAGAATTCCGCCACTTCTTCTTAACACCAGCCATATTTTATTATGTTGTTCCGAAGCGAAGTGGTAATAGGGCTGGCTATATTTTCATCTACTCGCAAAAAAAAATATGAGTTATGTATATAACTCATATTTTTTTTGTGGTTACGTACGAGTTCATAGTAATTTGTGACTAACACTTTTTTCTCTCCTAGAGCTGCTGCAATGAGTGCCTAAGAGGATCGTCAGGAGATGCATGTTCTGCTGAAGTCAGAGGGAATAGTGCAGAGGAGGTGCTGGTTGGGGAAGCGTACGCGCAATGTTGCAAGGTAAAGGATGTCTTAACATAATGTTAAGGTAAAAACCCAATTCAGACTTCTTGATCTATCAAATTCTAATTTGAAGTGATGTTGCAGTATTTTAATTTATTCACGTAGCTAATCTATCATTATTTCATAATTATTAATCAATCAGTTACTTAAGTTAAAGTAAATAAACCAAAAGTTTCAAGCATTAAGTAGGACCGCGCCTTATAAAAACGCCAGCCTTGTTCTTCTTTTTTTACAAAACCATGAAGTTTGAAAATAACTTACCTAAGAAATTTTGTACCTGGCCATCAGCATTAAAAATAAAAAAAACTATGACGTTAATTTTTTTTTGATTGTTTAGATCATTGACAAACATTAATTTCATCAACCTCTTTTGTTTTTGCTGCATGCAGGCCATTTTTCTCTTTCTTTTTGCTTTGCGATCGTCTTTTTTTTCGGTTCGAATTGTATTAAGTCAGATTTTTTGTTACATTCACGTAAAATTACAAAAGTACTTGAAACGCATAAAACTTAAAAGTACGTAAATAAAAGTGAACTTGAAATTAATATTTACAGAAAGCGTCTTCAGAAAGTGAAAGAGCCAAGAGCGTGGAAACTCACACGCAACGAACCGAGGAAACCGCCACAGTATCTAAGAAGCATGGTAAGTTCTTTGATTTTTTAAAAACTTATTTCATAAAAGCCTTCAAAATATTTTTAAACTCACATCATCAAGCTCTAAAGCTTAATTACAATAAGTACTTAAACGTTTTGCATATTTCTGACTTTATCTCTTACTAGCTGACCCGGCACACTTTGTACCGCCTATGTTCATAATCATGGAATAATGTAGGATTCTATGGTAATTTTTTTTTCAAATCGGCCCAGTAGTTTCGCAGCCTATTCAATACAAACAAAGAAATAATCGAATCTTTCTTCATAATATCATAGTGAAGATTTCATTATCTAAGATTTTGTAAACCTAGGCGCAGACCACCGAGTTTTTGTCGGCCGATAGTTGGGTCCGATTTTAATTTGTGTGAAGAATCGGCCGATAGCAAATCGGTGTAATGTGCACACGTTCATACATTCCCAACTATCGGCCAACTAAAAATCAGTTTTCTGCGCTTAGGCTAAAAGTTACTTTTGCCTCTTTTACAGTGTTGCCATCTCTATGCGAGGAGTACGCACCTAACGAGCTGTGCGCTCACCACTGCATACCAGTGCCTGGGTCTTACAAGTGCGAGTGCAACCCTGGATTCATGCTGATGGCTGATGGCAGGAATTGTAAAGAGGTAGGTATAATAAATAATAAGGTAGTGGGCAGGGCAAATACACAGTGAAATCGGCAGTGGGAGACGGTGTATGTGACTGTACCAGACAGTCTGCCAACAGAGAGAGATTGCGGGAGATCGTGCGGAGAGTTGTATCCGCCTCTAAAACCGATGTGAACAACGCCTCATCGTGACCACGACCGCTCAGCCAAGAGCGAAACAAATAAGAAGAAAGGCACATAACTCGTAGCCTGATTGGGTCAGGAAATTTGGGCCCGAAGACGTAGTGTGGGCAGGCCTCCCACTAAGTGGACCAGCGATCTGGTGAAGGTCGCGGGAAGAACCTGGATGCAGGCAGCGCAGGACCGATTGTCGTGGAAATCCTTGTAGGAATCCTTTGTCCAGCAGTGGACGTCATTTGGCTGAAACGAACGAACCTAACTTTTAATATCTACTTATTGTTGTCTCCAGGTAGTCACGAACAGGTGTAAGCAACGCAACCCGTGCCAGCACAAGTGCATTGACACCGGGGTTGAGGTCAAGTGCTCCTGTAGAAGAGGCTACGAGCTCATGGCTGACAAGAAGTCTTGTCAAGGTGATATCTTAAAAGGACTATTAAGTTTAAAGATTAGATTTGTTTTTAATTGTCCCTTCTGTGAACGGTCGATTAAAGTCACTCTAGAAGCTAAGAAAGAAAGAAAGAATTATATTGATTGCAATAAACAACGTAGAAGAGGAACAGAAGAAGCTAACGTAGAAGTTTTCGGTAGTTCGATTGTAATGAGAATAATAGAGAGTTGCTTGGATGCGAGCGGCGCAGGACCGGTCTTTGTGGCAATCCTTGGGAGAGGCCTTTGTCCAGCAGTGGACGTCTTGCCGCTGAAACGAACGAACGAGAATAATAGAGGCGTATCTAATACTTACTACTATAACAGGATAAAATAGCGATACAAGATAATGCAAACAAGAGTTAGAATTTACTATCAAGATAAAGAAAGAAAGCAAAAAGTCGAAACAAAAATGAAATGAGTCAAATTTCTGAATCCAAGTTCACTCAAGAGCCAAACATTGCTCGCGTTCGTTCGCTGCTACCTAGCCATGAGCTACGTCTTACATAGTCCAATCTTGGTGCGTGGAGAAATTTCACATTTGCCATTAAAGTATGTGACGGGCACTATGAAAAACTCCTAGAAAGTATTTTTGAAGACATTTTCTTAAACTCTACCTCCTCTTCCAGACATAGACGAGTGCGTCCTGGACCCGCCTGTCTGCCTGCCAGACACAGACTGCCACAACATCCAGGGTTCCTACCGGTGTATCCCCAAGAAGAACCACGTCGCTAACAAGGGCCAGTGCCCTCCCGGGTTCTCTAGAAATATCGCCAATAATGCTTGCGATGGTAAGTAGAGATGGTCTTTACAGAATTTGCGTAGGAATATGCCTACTTTCTTGAAAGAAAAGCCTCTATACACTGAAACCCCAATCACACCATATTGTGAGAATGAGTAATGAAATCAATCCTTCACATCATAAGTAATCCACAGTAACAGTAGAAAGCTCCTCTCTAGTTAATTTAGTAGAGAAAGGGAGGATTAGATTCATACTAACTAAAAAAAACTGAAAATGTCATCTTTTTAATCAGTACTTTCAAACTAGAAGAATTTATCAAAAAAAAAATGTTTAATGATTCTTCTTCTTTTTGTGTGGACTGTGAGAAATACCAACGCATCAACACGACTTCAAGTGTCCCCATAAGACGAAAACTGAAAAATCCAATTCCATTGACCATTCGCTCACGATATATTTTAGATCCCCGGTCATCCCCTTAGAGGATGAATTTTATTTTGGAAATTGTTTCATTTTCTTCAATGGATTGAGCCATGTGTAATAGATCAGTCAATGACGGTTGCCTTTTTGTAAACAAGAACCTCTACAAGGACTATATTCTTGCAGACATCAACGAATGCAAGCTTCCCCACCCTCCGTGTCCCTCCTACCTCTGCGAGAACACAATCGGAGGGTACAAGTGTGGTGGCGTGTCTGGAGACCCCGTCAACCTGGCCAACCAGACTCCGAAACCTCCTACTGAGGACATCTGCCCTCCAGGATTCAGAACTGGGGTGAACGAGGAGTGTGAAGGTAAATGGAGAAATTCAGACACAGTAACTGTAAGATTAGCAAGGATTAGCAAGCTGAAGTGGCAGTGGGCAGGGCACATAGTACGCAGAACTGACGACCGATGGGACACCAAGGTTCTGGAATGGAGGCCGCGTACCGGAAAACGCAGCGTGGGACGTCCACCCACAAGGTGGACCGACTACCTGATAAAGGTAGCAGGAAGGCGCTGGATGCAGGCCGCTACCAACCGTGCGACGTGGAAGTCATTGGGGGAGGCCTATGTTCAGCAGTGGACATCCTGTGGCTGAAGTCATGATGATGATAATGAACTGTAAGAAAGCATTAACCAACTGTGTTGTCGCTTTCTCCAACAATGGCTTCCGCAGAATACCAGCGTTATGTTCTGGATTCTACCTCAGAGCATGACATAATGCTCAGTGGTTGCCATTTTTTATTCTTTGTAATCTCTAATTAATGCCAATGACTTATTTCTATTGCAGAAAAAGTGTATAAGAATCATAGCCCAAATAGATAACACACAGAGTTGCAAACCTTATTTCATAAAATACAAAATAATGACCCTAACAGCAATATATATCCATGACCTATGCTCATTTGTTTATAGAAATACACATTTATTCAAAAAAATGCAAGACACACATAACGTTAATACTCGACACAAAGAAAAGCTATGCCTCCCATACTCCAGAATAAAAATGTTAAATACCAGCCCATATTACATGGCCATCAAGTTATTTAATAAACTACCACAAGAAATAAAAAATGAACAAAAGTACACAACATTCAATAAAAAGTTGAAACAATACTTAATAAATAAATGTTACTATAAATTAGATGAATATTTAAATAATAAATAAAATAATAATACAGGACTGATTTTGTGATAAAACTAATACACTAACGTAAACTGAATAACTTTTAATGGCGCTCTGGACTGTAAATAAATACTTAAAATATAATATTATACTTACCTACAAAATAAATAATTATATAGCATGCATGCAGCTCTCCAAAAAATTTGCAATACCTAAACTAGGTTACTAAGTTTTAAGCACTGTATTTAGTTATAAGACCTTATGTACCTACACTTAGTGAGCAAATAAATGAATATGAATATGAATATGAATACCTAATTACTTATAATCTGTGTCATTTTATGTACGAATCAAATAATTTCTTTATTTTTTAAAAGTCCCTAGCCTATTACCGTGAGTCCATGACGACTTCTGGACAACATATCGACTAGGTCTGAGAAAAGTTGGCGTAAGAAACTTATGCCCGTTTTCACCATCAATCCCTAATTTTTGAGTGACCCCTATAGCAGCACATAACAGGCATTTTGTTTTCATAGCGGTCACTTAAAAATTAGAGATTGTTGGTGAAAATGGGTATTAGTCACATTTTTGAGCCCCTTCTTTAACAGGAAGATAGGAATTCATGCTCTCTATGGGACCATACCCATTACCCACTTCTCTTTTCCACCGCTGTAACTCCTATGTTGGCCACATCGTCTTGTCCTATAAATAATTAGTAAATTTACCATCACCTTTTTAGACGTGGACGAATGTGCAACCAACAAAGACGACTGCAACCGCATCTCCCAGTTCTGTATAAACACGCGCGGCAGCTTCTACTGCCAGGACCAGGCGTCCAAGTACTGCCCGCCCGGCTTCAAGATCGACCCCAGGACTAACAAATGCGAAGGTTTGGATCCAATATAGTATTGCTGGTATCTTTTCAGTCAATTTTTGTTCTTCAAGACAGAATTTAATCAATCAAAATCATAAAGACTTCCAATGGTATCTTCAGGTACTTTATTTTTTATCTAAAAACTGCTGGAGTTTGCTCAAGTAGTTAGGCTTCCAAATTCCAATGGGATCATTGTTAGTAGGTAGTATATTACTTTAACAGCTTCTAGGTAGCTTTGATCTAGTCTTTTCTTAGTCAGTCCTCTTTAGTTCCTGTTATCAGACTTCCAATTTTATTCTTGTTAGCATTTAATTTCTACTAAACGTGTTTTGTCATTAGAGCCTGCAAAAAGTATGACAGTGATTATGGTCACGTTGACATATTTCACGAGAGGCCTATGCGGTTCCGTGGCCTAATAAAGGCATAAAATGTGTATTAATACACCTTACAAATAAAATTTGCGCATGGTTTTAAATGTTTAAGTTAGATAATTAAGTATTGTGAATCTGCTTTTCAATTTTAAATTACCAGTGAAAACTCATAGGCTTGTGTAAGACTTATTATTTTTATTCTACATGTATCATAATTTAAGCTGTATGTTTTCCTAATAAAGAAAATAAAAATAAAAATAAACTTATTTTATCAAATTTTATCAACTTTTTCCAGTGTAGCATAATCTTGTTTTGTATATTTAACAGATTTGTTTTGTATATTCAACAGATATTGATGAATGTGAAGACAGCGAAGACGTTTGCAGACCAGACCAGGTGTGCGTCAATGAACTAGGACTATATCACTGCAGACCCAAATCACAGATTACCAGGTACAACTACTATACTTGCTTTCTTTTTTTATACCATTACTCACGTAGTTACATAATGTTTTAATGGCAAAAATGTATTGCTTCAGGACATCGACGCATGATTGTCCCGACGGGATGCGTCAGAAGCCGGGATCTTTCCTTTGTGAGGGTAAGAATCTAAACTCATTCTTCATCTGTCTTCTTCTTACCGTCTGCTTTATCAAATGGCAATGCCAGATTTTGTATGGAAGATGGCGTCTTTTTTTTTTCGCGCGGCCATCGACCAAACTTGGTTTTTGGATTACAAAATAGTGTAATAAACCAAACTTACTATGGCATGTATACCTATAAACTCAGTCTGAACTGAGTTACGAGCATTAGAAGTTTGATGGCTGGCGGGAAGACTTAGTTCAGCTGCCTTTGCGGTGAGAAAGATCAGAAACTTGACTGATGTTGAAACAGCAAGGCTTGTATATTTTAGTTATTTTCATAGTATTATGTCTTATGGTCTTTTACTGTGGGGCTCAGCAGCAGACATAGAATCAATTTTCATTTTACAGAAAAGAGCTGTTCGGGCAATATACGGTCTTAAACCACGTGACTCGCTTAGAGAAGTTTTTAAAGAAATCAATATATTGACTGTGGCTTCGCAATACATATTTGATAACATTATGTATGTCCGTAAACATATACATTTATTTACTAAGAAAAGTGACGTCCACTCATTTAACACGAGACATAAGAATAAACTTGCTGTTCCATCATTTAGGTTGCATAAGATAGGTAATTCATTCTTGGGGAAATGTATTACCATATTTAACAAAATACCACACAACCTTGTCGAATTGCCAATAAACAAATTTAAGATACATATAAAAAATACCCTTATGTCCAAAGGGTACTACAAGGTTCGAGACTATATTGATGACAAGGATGCGTGGTCAGTTCAGTCTGCACATATTTGATGTACTTAAATTTGACTATTCTTACCGTTAGATAATTCCTGGCAATAAGTGGTGACTGAGTTTGTTCCGGCGTTTCTTCTCAGCACTTGCCATATGTTTGTCTCGAAGCGCTGGTAGGGCCCAAAAGATAAGGAGACATGTAAAGTGCCCCATAAGGGCTACCTTTTTCTTTTTTTATTATTTTCTATTGACGTTCATAAGTGCCACTTGTGGTCTAAACTGAATAAATATTTTTGATTTTGATTTTGATTTTTTTGATTTTGATGATTTTCATACTAGATTTGCTTTTTGCGCGCAAGTTTTGTAAGAAATTGCAACAAAATATTGCGCTATTTTTTTATTGCGCTGATTCTGCTGCTTATTGATGTCTGGAGCCTTTAATGGATGGTATTGTTTGTTTACACATACAATGTCACTATTTTGTTGCAACTTCTTACAAAACTTGCGCGCAAAGAGCAAATCTAGTATGAAAATCATCAAACTTCTAATGCTCGTAACTCAGTTCAGACTGAGTTTAGAGGTATACATGTCATAGTAAGTTTGGTTTATTACACTATTTTGTAATCAAAAAACAAGGTTTGATCGATGGCCGCGCGAAAAAAAAAGACGCCAATTTCCGGCATTGTCTTTTTTATGAGATTCTGCACATTACGCAGTAAAAATTGTTACACAAGTCCCTTACACCAAAGACCAGTAGGTACCGTGAAAACTTTTTAAAAGAAAGGATTAATGGTCGGGCTGTTCATTAGCAAGCTGTTTCCATCAGTCCAGCCACAACGATGGCGGTTCGAACCACGGATCCTCAGTACCGACTATTCGACTATCAGAAGTCCGATACTGAGAGCGTTTGGCATCTATGTATACAGTGTGAGTCACGTTAAAGTGTACATATGAAAATAGATGAAACTAGACCTATTTTTATCGACAAAAAAGAGGTCAAAAAATTTTTGAGATTTTTTAAAATTTTTTATGGAATTTTTTTTCTTCCAATTACGTATTGTAAAGAAAACGTAATAACTTTTAAACTAAGCGGTATATCCTGATAAAATAAAAACAGTGATAATGCTAAATAACAGGCAATACTAAAAAAATACATAAAATACGCAAAAATTGCCAACAAATAACAAAAAATGATACTTTTTGAAAAAAATCTCCTTAAAAATTCGTGTTTTTTTGATTATTTGATAAATTTCTCCAAAAAATGCCCCTATAACAGGTGGTTTTTATTGTTTTGTATTATTCTCTATTGTATTACCTTTGTAAAACCAAAAATTGCATGTCTCTATCCCTATCACAACATTTGCTATGATAGTTTGAACAAAGGCCTACCACAACATTATTNCCTTACCTAATAAATTAGCTTCACGCTGCTTATAATAATCACCTAGTTAGTGAGAATGGTGAGAATCATGTTTATCAAATGGAAATAAACTACAATTCTTAAGTAAAATAGTATCAAATTAAGTCGACATATAAGTAGTCCACGGTAATATTCTCAATATAACTACACCTTTACTAAATTTAATTTTTTCTTCGTGAAATGTTGTTTCAATGACAGAAATTTCTTTTTACACGTAATTACATAATGTTCGTTTCAGCCAAATGACGTCCACTGCTGGACAAAGGCCTCCTCCAACATAATGTTACTGTCCATTTGTTCGTTTTTTGACATTAAGGGCATATTTCACAATCGCTTAGTAAGGGCCTGTTTCACGACTTCTGAATAAGTTGTGGATAGCCTATGTGACGGATCATTTGACACATTTATAGAAAATACGTGCTAGCTAGATTGACTCGACACTTGCCGAATATATCCCGTATATTAGTCTGTACGAGATTAGAATGGTTCTCAAATAGCTAAAAATCAACAAGGCACCTGGTGATGATGTAATCATAGCTGAGCTTCTGAAAGCAGGCGGAACGCCGGTACAAGGCTTTTCAGAAGCTGTTTGATTCCGTCATCCTCAAGGGAAAAATGCCTACGGCATTGCAAAGAAGTATGGTGGTACTCCTCTTCAAAAAAGGTTTGTATAAAAACGTCATAATGTCAGTCCGTCTCCAGGATTAGGTCTCGAAACCTATCTAGTTGCACCGAGGGGTGAGACAGGGAGACGTAATATCTCCGAAACTGTTTACCACCGCCCTGGAAAATGTTTTCAAGCTTCTGGGCTGGAGAGGATTCAGCATAAATATCAACGGCGAGTTCATCACCCACCTTCGATTTGCAGACGATATCGTAGTTGTGGCAGATCTAGGCACAATGCTCGATGGCCTCAGTAGAGCCTCGCAACAAGTGGGTCTTAAAATGAACATGGACAAGACAAAAATCATGCCAAATGTCCGTGTTGTACCCACTCCTCTGAAAGTTGGAGACTACACTCGAAGTTGTTGACAATTATGTATACCTGAGACAAACCATCCAGTTAGGTAGGTCCNAAATTTGAAGTATTTTCATCGATAAAATTGTCTATAGATTACGCCATTCTGCCGTCCGATCACTATAACGCCGTTAAGTGCAAAAACCACTTTCGGAGAAAAACGAGTTTAAAGATCACGAATTAAAAAAAAATCGCTGTTTCAAAAGTAAAAGAGTAATTTGTAATTTAAATATATCATTTTAAAGGTATTTTTAAGAGCTACAATTTACACAAACTCTCACGACGCTACATATTAAAGATTTTGAAATATTTTAATTTATACATTTTAACTCAGTATTATTGAAATAATATCTCAAAATATACACAACTAAAACGCCGGTATGGCTACCTTAACGGCGTTTAAGTTTTGGATCTTGAATAACTTTGATACATTTGTAAAACGAGTTTCTAACTAATAATTCTACTAAACTTTAATGCCGTTAAATAGTTTAACGACGTTTTAGCTTGGTAAAACTATTATTTTTTAACGTGAAAATACTTGCCTTAAGTGCAGCTAATGTTAGCTAACGTCATTTAAGTCTAGTATTAACACATAAATTACGAAACTATTGGTATGCCTGTTTGATTCGTTTTGATTACAAGACTAAAATGCAGTTAAAAACAAAACTTTTCACCATAACGGCATTTAAGCTAAGTACTAGCTACTTAATAGTTCAGGAAATAAAGAAAATTGCATTTATGTAAAAAATAACAAAACCTGTTTTAGTGTTGAAAATTTATATCGATTTTAAAAAAATCAAGTCTTTACTATTTTTAGCATTCGTTGANAAATCTAGATCCATTTTCAGTTTCGTTGTTAGCGAAGCGTTGAATGGCGCGCCCCGAGAGGCTTAGTTCAAACGATCATAGCAAATGTTGTGATAGGGATAGAGACATGCGATTTTTGGTTTTACAAAGGTAATACGATATAGAATAATTCAAAGTAATAAAAACCACCTTTTATAGGGGCATTTTTTGGAGAAATTTATAAAATAACCAAAAAAACACGAATTTTTAAGCAGATTTTTTTCAAAAAGTATCGTTTTTTATTATTTGTTGGCATTTTCTGAGTATTTTATGTATTTTTTTAGTATCGTCTGTTATTTAGCATTATTACTGTTTTTATTTTATCAGGATATACCTCTTAGTTTAAAAGTTATTACGTTTTCTTTACAATAAGTACTTGAAAGGAAAAAAAATCTATAAAAAATTTAAAAAAAAATCTCAAAAAAATTTTGACCACTTTTTTGTCGATAAAAATAGGTCTAGTTTCATCTATTTTCATATGTACACTTTAACGTGACTCACACTGTATTTTGTTGCCTCAAATTGTTTACTAACGGGACTATTCATCCCTCGCTGCAACTTATGTGTAGCCAGGATCTACAGCTTGACTGCCAGTAAAAACCCAGCCAGTGAAGGTCAAGTTACTCCCGGGTGGAAAGTTAATTTTGTCATTGGAAATTTTATACCACTTTCCAGATATCGACGAGTGCGTGGAAGGCACGCATCTGTGTGACCCGTACCAGAATTGCCTGAACACCAACGGTAGCCACGAGTGCCACTGTAAGCTCGGCTTTGAGCTGGATGCCACCACCGGCGCTTGTGTTGGTAAGAGCTTAAAGCTTCTCTTAAGCAGAGGCGTTTCAAAGTAACCAAAGAAAGACCCTGGTGAAAAAACCTGGAACCCTAACTATAAATTATTACTAGCGGCCGCCCGCAACTTCGTACGCATGGATCCCGTTTTAGCCCCTTAGGGGTTGAATTTTGCAAAATCCCGTCTTAGTGAGCACCTACGTTCTAAAAGAAACCGCCATGCAAAAGACACTCCTACCACTTGTAGTTTCTGAGATTTCGTGATGAGTGAGTGAGTCAGTCAGTCACCTTTCGGTTTTATAGATATAGATAGATTTGTTTCGCGGTAAAACCACAGAATACATAATAGTAGCAACAGAAATTGCACTCCTTTGTGTAGGATCAGATGCCGACATTTTAACGGTAATAATAATAATGCAAAATATCCAACGCACATGGTGCATTCGAAATCGCACCTTACTACTACGCTCACAAGAGCGCATTTTTTGTGTGTTTAGAATTGATCTACGTCACCGCTCAAGCGTCAGGGTTGTATGAGCAAAGTAAAATAAATAAAAACTTAATTTTAAGAAGCATTTATTGTATTTACGATTAGAAAACTTTAATCTAGTGGAGTTTGTATAATCGTACCATCTCTAAAGTACCTATTAATAAACTTCAGTGTTGCGATAATTCGAAATTGGACAAACAGTTTTAAAACGTGTAGTGTCGGAAAATAGACACGGTGAAGTAAAGTTAATGTTTATATTAGCTAAAATAATTATTTTGCTATAGTTTTTTGTCATAAGTATTTCAAAATAATTTATTATTTAAAAAGTGTAGTTTTTTTTTATTATTTAAATCACTACAGTTAATTATTATTCCTATATATTACAATTTTTCATTAAAGAAGAATAACAGTGCTGTTGGGACAATAAACCTTAATTGCGACGATGATCGACCGAGCGTGTATAGAAATACGCGTAAGCAAACAGGCGCGTGGCGGCCCGGACTGATTTGCAACTTGAAGTTGTCGCGCGCTGTAGGTAATTATCTCGGCCGGCATAGGCGAGTGACGGAGGCCTGGTAAAACCGTGATCGTGAGAGAATTTTGCTCAATAGGAGATTTGCTGGTCAGGGTTCAAGGGCCCCGAATTTGGGGGGCCCGGTGCATAGCGCCATTGCCCTCAAGGAAGCACACATGTAAAGTTCTATAAGGGAAAGGGCCCCATTACGAAAATACACCCAAACTCGGAGGTAATCAGATTAAGTGTAACGTCTGACTTTGTGTTAACTTTGTTGTCAGACGTAAACGAGTGTGCGACGGAACAGCACTCTTGTATTCCAGAGACTCAGAGGTGCGACAACACTGTTGGATCGTTCTTGTGCATCAGGTAACATTAAATACAATACTGATTTTATTCTTATTTTATGCCCAATAGTAAATTGGCTTATTTATTTTATTTTTTCAAATATTTCTTTTTCAGGTTCACTTCATGTGGCACAGGATACATTTTGCATCACTCTAGCGGGCAGTGTGAAGGTAAAATATACCTAATTATTAACCATGTTTAACGCAGGAAGATTTAATAAATGCTACTGACAAGTAGAGTTTTGGGCTGACACTGTGTAGGTTTATTGTCGACACGATCGACGATGACAGTAATAATGATAATGGCCATGATAATGTCTGATGACTGAGTTTGTTCCGGCGTTTCTTCTCAGCACTTGCCATATGTTTATCTCGAAGCGCTGGTAGAGCCCTAAAGATAAGGAGACATGTAAAGTGCCCCATAAGGGCTACCTTTTTTTAAAATATATTTGACGTTCATAAGTGCATCTTGTGGTCTAAACTGAATAAATATTTTTGATTTTGATTTATCCCAGACGTGGACGAGTGCGCAGTGGGCAAGCATAACTGCGCGCGCGCCGGCCCGGCCTACCAGTGCGTCAACATCCCCGGATCCTTCCGCTGCGTGCGGAAGAAGCCTTCCACCACTTCCACCACCACCCCGCAGCCGGTCTACGAATATTACTACGACTCTGAGTAAGTATATGTATACCACCCACAAGGTGGACCGACGACCTCATAAAGGTAGCAGGAAGGCGCTGGATGCAGGCCGCTACCAACCGGCCATTATGGAAGCCATTGGGGGAGGCTTATGTTCAGCAGTGGACGTCCTATGGCTGAAATGATGGTGACGATGATAGTATAATTAACATGTCTTGTAGTTGCAATAGGTAAGTTTACTAAGCTGAACGAGCAGTGAGTCGGTCATAATTATCTATCAGAAAACTGACGAAAGGCGTAAGGCCAGTTAAAGACTACATTATTTTAGATTCAGAATTATTGTGACATAGCAGCATCACTATCAATTTCGATCAAACTTTTAGGGAATACTATAAGACTGTCCAAAGTAAATGAATACAATAAATACATTAATGTGTTTTGAATTTTAATTTAAGAGAAGAAATAGAAGAAAACGAAACGAACCCGCAACCAGCTGAGCCGAGTAACCCACCTGAAGTGTCATCCACAACCACTACTCCAAAGCCTACCAGTGAAGCTCCACAAACTACTCCTAGTACCAGGCCCACCGAAACTCCACCACCAGAAACTCCTCCTCCATATGTTCCTGAACCGGAAGCGCCGGAAGACCGAGAAGAAAGAACAAACGAAATCATTCCACGGCCAACTGAACCTACATTTCAACCACATACGCCTATTTATACTCTTCACGAATATATACCACCACCACCACCCACAGAATCGTCTCCAGAACCTGATCATCCATCCGAAGCCCCATCTACTGAAAGAATTCCAGAACCAGAAGTACCACAAGGACCAAGACCTACTTATAGTCCATTCGCTCCCAGAGATCCGAACATCGGCTATAGACCTGAATCCCGTCCTGAATATAACGAGTCAGTTCAGCCTGACCAGACTGAACCTGAAACGACTTATAGTCCTGTATCGTCATCGTCTCCAGTTGCGACTCCTCCATCTGTAGTTTACGTTGATGTGGGGAAAGAGACGGCGACTATTAGAGGAGATAGGAAAGAAGATGGATCAGTGGTGGTAGACACGCAGAATATACCCAAGAATGAGTGGACCAAAATCAACGAGAGGCCAACGAATTGCCAGAGAGGGTTTGAGCTGGATGAATATGGAGCTTGCTATGGTGAGTTTCATTAATTTGCTCAATACAGTGTCATTTTATGGTTAACGATTAAATCAATATCAAAGAAATGCCCTTATCGCTTATCTCTAAGTCCTCGTTATATTACCTACTTCTTTTAAGTTTTATCTCACCTCATGAATCGAATTTATTTTCATTAATTACGAATAAATAATGTTATTTTTTCAAATTAGCTTCTCTGTAAGTATTTCACATCCTTGAAAATCCACTTGCCTAAGTATATCTGTGCCTTTAAGGTTCATTCTATTAACCATCACTAGAGTTCCTACATAAAGTTCTCTCCTCAATATTCTTTCTAGTCATAGTCATCCGATCAGCTCTGATAACACTGCCATAGTTTAAATAACATCACTAATATCCCGATTTGTTCTCTTAAAAAATTTGTATAGAAGTAAAACATTTCAGACATCGACGAGTGCTCCACAAACCGCCACAGCTGTTCTGGCCTGACCGAGGTCTGCAGGAACACCATGGGAGGGTACATTTGCGAATGCGCACTGGGCTACCGTCGCGACCTCTACACAGGGGCTTGTGACGTCATCCCTACCACCACCAGCACTACCACTACTAGCACAACGTTACCCCCACCGACTATTGTTACTACTACTGAGAAACGTAAGTATAATGGTCAAGGTTTGAACTGTCGGTCGTTGTTATAACTTGATCACAAGGGCTCTGCCGCTCTCGTATTTATTCCGCAGCGAAATGCGGATTGTGGAAACAGGACTATTCCCATCTCTCGTTCCCACCGCTGCAACTCCTATGTAGCCAGATCTACAGCTTGACCGCCAATAAAAACCCAACCAGTGAAGGTCAAGTTTGTCCCCGGGCAAAGTTAAACTGTCATTGGACCACAAATATTAAATCTGTTCCTACTTATTTTCAATCTCGCGAATGTAAACGTCAAACGAACTCATGAAATAAAATCTCCAGAAAGACGGACAGCAGTGGCATAGCTCCAGTGGTCAAGCTACGATTCTTTTTTAAGATATTTAAGCCGCGAAGTGCAGAGCTTTTCATACAATATCATGATTTCATATTATTTACAGCGAAGTCATACTACTTCTGGGGCTACCCAGAGTACCGGCCTTTGACCCAACGGCCATTCAGGCCGAGGAACCCTTGTGATGCTGGTTTTCATCTCAACTCGCAGACTGGAATATGTGAAGGTAGGTCTTTGTGTGTGAATTATTTTATGGTATCAAATTAAACAGCTGGGGATTGAACAAAACTAAAATCAACAGCCAGTAGCCTTTATCCACTGTTGGTAGCAAGAAGGCGCTGGATGCAGGCCGCTGCCAACTGGTCACCATTGAAGTCAATGAAGGAGGCCTATGTTCAGCAGTGGACGTCCTATGGCTGAAATGACTGTGTGACGGGCGGCCGCAGTATGTGTGCGAGCGCGACCGCAACATAATTACACGCGAGTGATAAGGATGGGTAGCTTGGGGTCATTGAACGAAATTTTATCTGCTCGGCGACCGGACTTTAGTAGTCAGAACAGTAATGTAATGTTTTTAAATGCAGATGTAAATGAATGCGTCAACGGCCAAGCCGACTGTGCAGCGGTGGAGATTTGCGTCAACACACAGGGCGGCTACCGCTGCGAGTGCCCCCCCAACTGGCACCTTGATGATGTCAAACACCGCTGTGTCCCCAACCGGACTGACGACCAGTTCCCCACAGGCTACGGGAATGAACCTAAGCAGCCAGGTAAAAAACAATGTTTCACAGGTCTTTCTGGAAGCTATCGCATCGCTTCCTAGCGAGAAGAGCGCCTACGTTATCTACCATTGAATTTTGTTCGCAATGTGTAGTAACATTCTATCAAATTACTCGAAATCTTATGGTTAGGTTAGGGTAAACAGTCTGATCCTATAAACTGCGAATAGGTGATGCGAATATAGAAGATGTAGGTACTGAAGTTTATCTTGAAACTTACATTTATCCCTTGCTGCATGACGGACGCCTCACGCCACCCACGGTGAAGTCACGACCGTCAGTTATTTTCGCTCGCTCAATACTAAGCTCGAGTTAAATGTTGGTAGTTACTTTTTATGAACACAATCGTCAGTAAAGTAATGTAAAATCAAACTTCAATTTAACACAAACAAAACACAAATTCTTTGTGATAACACTACACTCGCGTTCAATAAGTTAGGATAGGACGTGAATCATTTCTATTCACTGCTCGTTTGTGTTTGGATCACATTTTGGACCTAGAACGCACACAGGTATCGCGCGCGTGTAGCGACATCGACGTGCAATCGCTTTCATGTCCCGGCGGTGACTGGACGCGGGGAATGAACGAAGTGAGCGGGGGGAGTGACGGCGCAGACATTTATTCTTTCGTTCGGTTGCTATGGTAACTACGATGTTTGCGTACGCGCATAGGGTAAACAACTCAATTTCTACGAACCGGATATTTTTGTTGAAAAAAATATGATTTTTAAGGTTATTTAGTTCATCGGTTTTGGACTCTATACATGATACTGAGTTACCAGTTTAAAGGATAAGACTGTCTATACTAACACCTTGTATAGTGTAGGTTAGGTTAGCTTGCAGATGATGAGACATCAGCCTCTACCTATGTAAAAAATAATTAAATTTATTAAACGTAGGAAATCATGTTCAAGCACTGCTATTAACCCTGGGATGACAGATCACGGAGACTATCTCCTTTATATTCCAGCTAAAAAATTAAAATGAGGTCGAAATAGTAAAATAACTATTGTTACAGTATACCCGCCCATCGAACCTCAGGCTCCAGTTGGTCCAGGTTCCACCAACGACCTGGTCGAGCCCGGGATCACCCAGGTCGAGGACCGGGGCTCCGTCATCAAGTGCCCGTGGGGATACCGGCTTGGAGACGACAACACTTGTGAAGGTGAATGGACTATTTTCTTAACAGGTTCGCTACTGTCTTCATCAACGTCAGATAGGTCCCCATAACTGATACTTACTGTCCGTGGTGTATATATTTTCTTAAAGGTTTGTTTTTGTCACCTGTCATCAGATTTGCACAGTAAGTCTTGAAAGAAAGATTGTATTGGCGGTCAAGCTGTAGATCCTAGTTACACTGGAGTTGCAGCAGTGGGAACAAGAAGTGGGAATAGTCCCGTATCCATACCATATCATAGAACTTGATCATGGACTTTTCTTCTTTAAATCATGCCAGTCTGTATTTGTTTATTGCTGCTCTGGATTACAATTCAGAATAAAATGAGCCCTAAATCTGATAATAACTACCTAATAACGATATAGCTTTCTATTATTTTTGTAGACGTGCTGACTTCAGTTACCTTCAACTTTTTAAAAGAGCTTATGTTACCCCTAATGTTTTTCAACCAGAGATTATTTTTTAGACATCGACGAGTGCTCGACCGGAGAAGCGAAGTGTGGACCGATACAGTGGTGCATCAACCTGCCTGGAGGGTACACCTGCAACTGCCCTACTGGACACAAGCTCACCGGGGACCACGAGTGTGAGGAGATAGACGAGTGTGCTCTGGCTGGAAATATGGTAAGAACTATTATTTAATTTCTCAAACGGTAAATTCTTCCAACTGCAGGGTAAATCAGTCTGGTTCATTTGGTAAAGATTATCAACATCATCATTGATTGAGCTCATTGCAGGTTCATGCTGTATTGTATGTTTCGGTCGCCATGTGTACCTACAGCACATTCGATTTTTCTTTTACAAAGTCACATTTATTGTAACTGACTTAAGGTACCTTGGTTAAGGCCGTAGCCTGTACTTATTTTGAGACCTTTCATCTACAATGAAGGTACCTAAAATCATAGGTATTTACCACCCCACCACTAGTTAAATCCTAGATTTTCTGTAAATTAAGTATTGAAATCGGATTGGAGACAAAAAAAACAGTGCTTAATCCCCATTTCCGTTAATGTATGATCTTACGGCAATACTTTTTGTTCCAGCCGATCTGTTCTCAAAATGCTGACTGCATCAACACAGTTGGCTCGTACAAATGCCGCTGCCATGATGGTTTCCGATCAGCTCCAGTCAATGATAAGGTATGTAAGAAAAAGTGTTAATGACTCACTTGTATAAAACGAATCATTATCATCAACTTTATTGTTCCCAAGACACAGGACTGCCTAGTTTGGGATAGTACCTATTGGGTATTTTTTCTGATAGGGTTTGTTCTAAGAAGGGCTATCGTATTAACCCTCACCAGTTGGCGTCATTGTAGATTAAGGGCTTGTCACTTACCTGTGGAGTCAAAACGATTCCCTCATTCCGCCTGGCTAGCTACCGCCATTTTGTCTAATGCTGGATTTCTATATTCAATCCTAATCCAAATTATACGGATTTGGATTGTCAACTGTCAAATTTTAATATGTTCTTGGCCAAAATAACTGCGGTTTTTGATGTTTTTACATTTTTATATTGTTTATATATGACTATTTATCGCATCGAAAATTTTGGAAATATAATCTAAAACTGAATTCAATTTGACAGTTGTAATCAGGATTTGGACAAGGATTGAATATGGGAATCGGGCGTAAGTCTGCCGCCTTAACAACAATGTAAACAGCATTGTGTTCCGGCAGTTGGGGGTAGGATAGCCAATTCCTCAGTATTTGAGGGTTCCGGGTGAAGCTTGCTTTGGTAACGGTTTTTTTGTTTCGTTCTTTCTTTATCCAGGTATGCGTTGACGTAGACGAGTGCACGGAGAATCGAGCTGGTACACTTTGCGAGCACCGCTGCAACAACGTGTGGGGTGGCTACCGGTGCTCATGCCATCGGGGGTACCGGCTTAACGCTGATAATAGGCAAGTAAATACAGGGTTTATATTATACCAGTCATATAAGGACAGCAACCAAGGTTCTGGAATAGACGGTATTACCTACCAGCAAGAGTAGCGCACAGCATTGGTGATATACCAGTCACATAAGGACAGCTAGGTTCTAGAATAGAAGACAGTACCAGCTGCCAAACGTAGCAAACCCATAAGGACAGATGGAGATGACCATAAAAGTTGCAGGAAGCCGCTTCCACCGACCAATCTGTTTCGACTATCGAACTACTGGTAAGACTAGATGGAATAAAGGGAAAATCATCAGGGAGGCCTTTGCTTAGTATTTTCTGTGGTTAGAACGAAGATGCTGATGATAATGATAATCATAGTAGCCAATTATGGAATAAGTTTGCAAACGCTGAAAACTGCGTACATACAATAATAATATGTGGCGTATAAGATACCCTATTTAGAAAATATAAGGAGGTAATCTGGAGTCCAAAGGACGACCCTGTTTTTGATCGTGTGATATTTTCTGTGACTGACTGAAATGCATGCCAGTGCAGCCACTGAAATAAAAGTAAGATTCAAAAGTAATACTGTTCTTTAAACTTCTCTGATCTTCACAGCACCTGTGCGGACGTGAACGAATGCGAGGAGTTCAAGTCGAAAGCTTTGTGTGTGGGCCGCTGCCTGAACGAGCCTGGGTCCTATAGGTGCTCCTGCCCTTCGGGGTACAGGCTGTCGGAGGACAAGAGGAGCTGTATTGGTGAGTTGATATTTGACTTTAGAAAAACGGTTACATTTTGGTATTGGTGACTGTGAACAGAAAAAGTGTTTTTGATCCTTGTCTGACAGGAATGGAGATAATAGGAGACTAGTACAAGGGGGCTGAAAGAATATTTTATTTTTGGCTGGCTCAGTATTCAAAGAAATCTATATCTAATATTGATTTTTCCAGGTCATCGTTGAAAGCAATATATCAAGGTGATTCTAAACATTGATTCACATACCAAAATAAAATCCAGGCGTATTTGCGAGTTCAAATCACGCTGGAGGTAATTTTTTGTAATAAGCACGAGGAAAGGACCACATACGAAGTTACAGCCGTTTCAATAGTAATATTTAGTAATAGTTTACTAAAAATAATTGTTACCTATCAGCACTTAAATTGTTGACATGACGTAACTCCTAACGCTTGACACCTCCCTTGTGTCAGACATCGACGAGTGCGAGACCGGCGAGGCCACTTGCGCAAGCAGCAGCCCCTGGTCAAGCGGTGCCAGCTACGTGTGCCTCAACACTAGGGGGAGCTACCGCTGCCACCACATCGTCTGTCCGCCGGGCTACCAGCTGGAGTCTAAAAAGTAAGATTTGTTGGTTTATTCTTAGGTTTTTTTGCAGTTAAATTGGAAAGATTCGAGTTCATGCAGTGAGACTAAAAGATGTAAGATTGAACCTTTCGATTTTCCTACATAGCGGTCAGGGCAGTCGCTCATCAAGAAAAATCATATTATTAGCCTCACCAGTAAAGGTAAAATGTTGGTAATTAACTGTATGATTAATATTATTTGTGTTTTGTAGTCTGGTGACTGAGTTTCTTGCACCGTTTCTTCTCATCACTGGCCTACTTTTTGTCCAGAAGTAGCAGTCGGCTTAAAATAATACTGGAATGTGTCAAAGCGCTTCTTAAAAGCCTATTTGCAGACAAAATAACTTTTAAAACTTTATTTCCAGCCGCTGCACCAAAGTAGAGAGGGTGTGTCCTCCCGCGGACTGGGAGTGCGCTCACCAGCCATCCACCTACTCCTACAACTTCATCACTTTCGTCTCCAACCTGTACATACCGGCTTCGAAGGTAAGCCATCAGTGATGGTAAGGTATTTTTCACAAATCTCTCTGTAAACATCCCTAGTCCTGGTTTACAAGGATGTGATTTATTACAAATTTTCGATTTTTTGTCATGTGGGATGTAGACAGTTGTGGTAGCAATGACATTCGTCTTCAACCTATACATACCGGCTTCGAAGGTAAGCATCACTAGTGTAAGGTCCATCAAAGGGTTGCACAAATCCTTCTGTATCTTCCACAATAATCTCTCTGTAAGCATCACTGGTCCTGGTTATAAGAAAATGACAAAATAAATCCTTCTGCTTCTAGCATGGATTTTAGCAAATCATCTTCGTCTCCAACCTGTAATATACCGGCTTCCAAGGTAAGCCATGACAGATGTAGGGTCCTAGCGTGGCCTTCTATAAAAATATAGCATCAAACCCAGAACTTCTAAGCTGACATAAAGAGGAAGTGCTGCTCCCAACCCCAGTAATGGTACACTCCTACATACTTTATTGCATCAAGTATCTAATCACCTTTATTAGAGGACCTGCGAACAAATCTGATTTGGTCCTCAATGCCAGACTACCTTCCTCCCACCCCTGACTCATAAATACGCCCATAAATAAATAAATATGTTAAATACCGTCTAAAGTTCTATACCCTAAAAGGGGTTCCTATAGACACATTATATAAGTAAACTAACATAGAATTAATTATAAAACTATTACTAATCTAGAATAAGAAACTATAAAACATTTTTTTGTCAGTTACCCATAGGAAAATAAACAAGTTTTTTATTTATTTATTTATTTACCGTCTATAAATATCCCTAGGTGGACCTGTTCACGATGCGCGGGCCGACGTGGCCGCACGCGCAGATCCGCTTCCAGCTTCGGCTCGTGGACTCCAACGCGCCGCCCTCCGTCAAGAGGAAAGCTGACATCAACAGCTTCTTGTGAGTTTCCTTCTTCGTTTCAGCCGAAAGACGTCCACTGCTGGACAAAGGCCTCCCCCAAGGATTTCCAAGAAGACCGATCCTGTGCCGCCCGCATCCAGGCACCTCCCGCGACCTTCACCAGATCGTCGGTCCACCTAGTGGGAGGCCAAAGGAGGGATCCTCCTCATGGGAGGCAGATGGTACTGGTACACGTCATCCAGCACTTCATCTTCAACTTCTGTCTCCGAGAGGCCGCTGCAACTGCTGTGATGTACGGTCAACAGCACGTCAACGTAAACACTGTGGTATCTTACGTAGTTACGATAGGGGCGACTTTGCAACGAAAATGTATAGCTTGATGTGCTGTCGACTGTACCTATGCTAGAGCGCGGAAGACCAGTAGATGGACGTGATGTAATTTGAACTGCTGCACAAAGGCCTTTCCCAAGGATTTCTACAACGATCGGTCCTGCGCGGCCTGCTCAAGATACTTCCTGCAACCTTCATTCACCAGATCCTTAGTCCACCTAGTGAGAGGAGAGAAGTTTTCTGCTAGTGCGAAGTAGTAATATTTTGTTATATCACTTTTGTAAAAAATGCGCATTGCCAAACGTGTGGGACAAAGTCATACGAATTCACCTGATTATAGCACATGATATTTAACCTATCCATATTGTTTTTTAAAGTTCAAATTACAGGATTCTATGTGACTTGTTTTAATAAAAAAATGCGTAATAAAGCTTACCTGATTATAAAAACCGATCATAGACGATTATCACACTGCACCGCGGTCCGCGTGACTACATTATAAAGAATCCCGCGCGCAGACGCGTTGTCAGTGTGTTGTGCCGCGCGTATTTTCTACAAACTGTACTTGCATACAATGATTAAATCTGTTGTCCCGCGTATCGCGGCGGAGCGCGGTGCAGTGTGATAATCGCCTTAGTGTGTGTCACCAACAGTGGGGAAAGTGGGGATGTTACATTTCTGATTATAATGTTTCCTGCAGACTGGTGCAATCAGGCCACCAAGGCGTGGTCTCCTTGGTCCGGTCCCTCGAAGGTCCTCAGAGCATAGAGCTGGAGCTCATCATGGAACTGTACAACCGCGACCAGTTCGGGGGCATCGCGGTTGCCAAGATATTCATATTCGTGTCCGAGTACGAGTTCTAAGGACTTTTAACTTCAGTGCTGTTATAGGCAGATGTGTTAAAGGACGAAGCACACTTATCAACCCGGAAACGGATCGTAACCGTATCAACTCGAGGTGGTCAGTATTCTTTGTATGAAACTCCATGCTGCAACACACACTTCAGCCTTACGTTAACGCCTCGCCTAGTGGCGAAAGACCTTTTTTGATCCCATTCCGGGTCGATAAGTGTGCTCTGACCTTCAAAGTTCACGGTGAGATCATCAAGCTATCAAATAAAGAATTCACAGGCGCCAAGAATTCAAATGTAGCATCAGTGTGCGTACCGTGTTTCGCCTCTACTTTCGCTGCGCGAACTATGCCTACCTACTTGACGAAGTTCTATAAAAAATAAAGTTAAATGCCCGCCTTTTTATTCAAGAAATAAAGATAAAGACTAAATTCATTTGGCCGCTCTAGTGATGGGGCGACTTTTTAAATCACAAAAGCATATTCAGCCAGTTTAAAAAACGCAAGTACTTATTTGCCAGTTTCTTATCGTCTACTGGTTTGCTTACAATTTCATTTAGTGTTGCTTTTTATTACTTCGAGGAATAAATTGTTTTATTTTAGAAACTCTATATCGCGAGAGCTTCAAAGAAGAATGTAAAAGTTATGTATTGTAACATAATTTAAGTTAGTATTAAGATATTGTGATGTATTATAGTTTTATACTTGAACGTACTGCATCTACTTATAATCCAGTATTGTATTGTCGATAGTGAACAGGATATTTTTTAGTTGGAAAGGATGAATTAAAAACAGTTATAAAATAAATAGTTTTTTTATTATTTCCATCCATTTATATTCTAATTTGTACTATTTTCGAAACAGTGGTTAGGTGGTTAGTTAACAATTTTTTGAACAAGCAAGTGGGTAGTTTTTAAAACTATTAACGATTTCAAAAAGGAACAAACAAGAGTTTAGGCACACTTATTTTAATGTTGAAAGTAAACCTATATTGACACATTGTTATTAATTCAGTTTTTAAAACTTGCTAAAGCCTGGTCCGTGAGCACGTAGAATTTTGTCCAATGACCCCAAGCTACTCATCCTTATCGCTCGCGCGTAATTATAATGCTGTCGCGACTGTGCGACGGGCGCCCGCAGTGAGTGTGCGAGCGCGATAGCGACATAATGAGGATCAGTACTGTTGTAGAAAATTNATTACGCGCAATAAGATAAGGATGGGTAGTTTGGGGTCATTGGACAAAATTCTACGTGCTCACGGACCAGACTATACATATTTATAATAATTATAATCCAGCCGATGTAATAAATCTATGGAAACAAATTTCTAAGATAAAATACGATTGAATTTCGTGATTGCTTCTATTTTAACTAAGTAGATGTCAAAAAAACTACTTGAAACTACAATTTAAAACTGCTACTTTCTTCTAATAACTACTTTTTAAATATTGCCTAGGCCTATCTAGTCTATCCTTATAAATTTAAATCTTCCCAACATTTCCTATTCCAAAATCTTTCGATTTATCACAGTCTCTTTTCATTTAACGAAAAAGTTCTACTTTTGCATTAAAATATAATTTTAAATAATTATTTTATTGATCTACCACTACGTTATTTTATTTATTTAAGGACAACCAACAACACATACACCATATTTTACGCTTTTGAAATATTATATCAAAAATATTTTTGGTTATTCAAGTTAATTGTGTAAAACTTGGTAGGTATTAAAAGAAGAAAATGTCCCACGAGACGTGTCATATTATTAGTGTTATTAAGTACTTCGAGGACGTCAGATGAAATTCCATACAAAAATACACCGGATATCGTTAAAGTTACGGTCAAAGTTAGGTGGTGCAACTCGGCCTAACTAAACTAAGAAGGTAGTGTATCCCTTCCTAGTCTTCCTACCTATTTGTATTGTTTTATAACGTTCACTTGAAAAGTGTACGTTTTCAAGAACTTATATGAATTAGATAAGATAGTTTTCTGTGAATACAATGTGAAGTAAATCTCTCCTTTTCCAAGTTGGGGAAAAAACAAATAATACCGCGATCTAAAAGCGGACAGCGCCATCTATTTGCGAGGTCGCATAGGTCCTCAGAAACTTCGTTTCCCAGGGCACGACCAAACGTTCGACGGCCACTTTTTCCTCTTATGCACGCTTTATATTCTTTCTAAGCTTCTTTACTTTATTTATTTGAAAATAAATGAAAAGAATATGAAGTCCTATGGGATAGGCAAGTAATATTTTAAGGTATTATAGTTAATTATATCACACATCAATATAAAGTAAGAAATAGGTACTGCCAAAACGCTAGGACAACGGAAAAAAAATATTTTCTGTAAATCTTAAATTAATAAATAATTCCTAAATTACTGCAGCAATAACCATTTATTTTACTTATAAGGTAGACGGTCATAGTGATCCCATCAAAAACAATACTTATCAAAAAAACCAATTCTCGCCAACATGGATCTCACAACTTTTTACCGTAGAACAACTGAGTTGCGAGACTTGGTTTTTTTGACAAGTATTGTTTTTGATGGGATCTCATTTCTTTTTGTATTTTGTAGACAGCAGTTATGTATCTAGAAAACTGGACCGAAATTGAAAAATTTTACTCGACTTGGCGGTTGCACTACCGTGCCCCCAAATATTTTAGTTTTTCCTTGATTCATACACCAAACACTACTTATATTCCAAATTTGAAGCTTCTAGGTGTGCTAGAAGTGCCTTAGAATTTTGATGATCGGTGAGTCAGTCAGTGAGTGACAAAATTAAGAAACTTTGACCCGTTATAATTCTTAAACTACTGGTTCAAATTGAATGAAATTTGAAATATACCGTGTCTTTACAATGCCTGCATAGCTAATGAAAATTCAGCCTTCTAGTTTTATCCACAACGAAGTTACAGGCGGTCGAAAATGGCCTGAATTGCTTCGAGAAAAGGATGGTACGGCCGTGCCGCTTTTTTGCTCAGATAGGTAAATTTTTTGACTTTATGTTAAATTTTTAGAAAATATGCTTCTAAAACTGTTTTTTTTTATAAAATCAGAAAATCAAATATTTATTCGAAACTAAGCAAAAACAACTACTAGTTACTTCCCCAATTTTATAGGTACATCATAGTAATATAATATCTAACGATTGAATTATATCACACACTGTGTACTGTAATTTATCTTCAATAATATAAAAATGAATAGCAAAATGTGTTGGTATGCAACGCCTGGACCAATTTTACCAATTCTTTTTTATAAAATGATCGTTGAAGTCCAAGGATGATTTGTACGGCGAGAAAATTCGAATAATTTCCGGGAAAACCCTAAAAACAGCCCTTTTTCACACGGGCGAAGCCGCGGGCGGAAAACTAGTCTAGAATAAATCTGTGCTGTATCCCAGCGTTCACTGCTCACTCAGGAACGCTTACAAAAATTTTATTGACCCACAATGTAAATCTATTTAACTTAACCTTAAGAAGCGAAGCAATAAACTAACTACTAGTGCTATAATAAACCAAAAAATTGCTTTTTTCCCAACTTAAAAAAGAACAGTGATGTATCTGTTCTTTTCTAAGTTGGGAAAAAAGCAAATGATACCGCAATCTAAAGGCAGACCGCGCCATCTATTGGAAAACGCACACATTGGGTCTAAAGAAAAAAGTGTTATCCGACATCTCATAATAATTCAGCTAGAAATAATAATATATTTTAAGAGCGTTTACGCCGTTTGGCGCAAAAACACTACTTTTTCAACCCGTTACAATCATTAACCAGTTACATTACAAATATGTTATAGGCATAAATAATTAGGCAATTTCGTCGTCTAAATAAGAGTTAGTTGAGAAAATATTTCGATTAGTATAGTATTTAAGAATTCTATCAAGATAAGTCCACACAGGTTTTCAAATTTCCACTTTAGCGTCAGTTTACAAGCTGAAATTTTTATAAAAATGCTGTGAAAACGATATAACAAACATTTATATTCTATAGCATAGGTCCTTAGGCAAATAGTTGAGAAAATTCTTAGATTTTACAATAAGAAATCACAAATTCAAAGAACGTGAAATACCCAAAAATCAAAGTGATTTTTACACCATTATTCTTCTTTAATTCAACATAAAAATAGCTTAATATAATAAAATAACATCTTCTTTAAAACATTTACTTTCAAACGATATATAATTTATTCATTGTTATTGTTTTGCTATAAACATTTGAAAAGTATTAAAAAACGCCGCGCGCGAATCATTTCCAATGATGCCCCTTGAAACGCCGCGCTTCGCGTAAACGCTCTTAACGCGTATTTAATTGGAGCCCTAGGGAATTGAAGCTTCACCTTCGCATTTACTATCGCATAAATATTATGGTCTGTTATGTTAATTATTTGATTAAAAATACTATCTATAGTTGTAAGTAAGTAATTCAATATTAATTTATCACACTTCAAAGCTAGGAATGGCTAGCGGCTTTCACTTGTAAACTTCTACCGCGATATGAACTGTGTAGCCGCTTAGAAACTATATTTTAAGGTGGGCTTAAAAGAAAGTTCTTTTCTCAAATCATAAGCTTTTTTTGAGTGAGTCGTTCCATACCCGCATTTCAAAACTTAATACTCCCTTTTTGTAAAACTAGACTTCAGCTTAATTTTTTTTCTAAGGTTTATAGACCTTATTTATTAGGCCATTTTAGACTTACATTTGAAACTCAAGCATAGATTGAAATCTTTAGGTACTGCTAGATAAGTAATTTAAGTCCTTCTAAACATTGTTGTCTTATACCTATCCTTGAATACGATAGCCGAATGGTATAGGTCGGACTGGGCGAATCGTCACCGAGGAACGGGTTCGAACCCTGCCGGTCGACTTTTGTGGTGAGCCTACTCGTGACACAAGCATTTTTAGCTAGTACGAGGGGCTAACGGGACTATTAGTAATTTATGCAATACAATGTTCTTTAAAAAGAATAAAATAGTTTTTTTTGCAATTTTTTTGGTCTTTCCTAAAGTGAAAAAATGGTCTATTCCAGAGTTTCTTAAACTTTCGGCTCCACGAACCCCTGTTAAAGTTTCCAGGTGACAGGTGTCACCTAGGTGATCAAAGTGAACTTCATGGGTGATCAAAGGACACCAAAGTATCGCCTGGAGTCCATCTGGGTAATCTAATCCAGGTGATCAAGCTGGGTAGTGGAATAGACCATTTTTTACACTTTTACCTATTTAGTTTGAAGATGTAAAGTAGATTTATTTAAATTCATACCTGGTGTTACAATAGTGCGTCTACTGGTGCAATCTACAGAAGTTATTCTACAATCTACTCGTGCGGATCGACGATGTCGAGCACAGTGAGGCAGCCATCTTGTGACGCAATAGCTAGCGCTTTTCCCCCGTGTGCGCTTGCGACGCCGGTTACTTCTGCTGGGGCCCGGTACTCGGCTATGGCTTTGCCGTCTATTGTCCTGTGGGTTTTCATTAATTGATTAGATTTCAAACATAATTCTGTAGCTTTACTATGAGTTATATTCAACGTAAACGCTAGCGAGTGCGTAAAAGTCTATGATGATTTTAGTTCTTGAAAGTAGCCGCTAGGGGCGCTGTAAAAATTGCCATATTATATTTTTTACGCAGTTGCTAGCGAGAGTAGTGAGTTGGTAACCAAACTGGATAGGTTATTGTAACATAGTGGCAAACACAATAGATCAAAACCGTTACATTGATACCAGGTCTTCAAAGAACCGTCCTCAATGCAAAAGAAATTAGCTTTTAAAAACTAATTTACGATTTTCTGCTGAACCTGGACAGCCACACAAACCATCATCATTATTATTTTAGCCACAAGGCGCTTACTGTTGAGCATTATGATCAATCATTAAATGATAATGATTTTCAGAATGGCCAGTTGGTACCGGTCTGCATGTATCCAGCGCTTCCTGCTAA